ACTACAGAATGCTCGAATCTAGACTTTGTTTGCAATTACAGTACACCTGCAGTGAAGTACAGTTGGCCACAGTATGCTTTTAAGACTGAATATCTTTCACTTCAAGAAGCATTCGGAGAGTATCCAATGATATACTGTGCTTGAGATAAAAGACTAAGACTTGAACTCTTGAAATTTTAAACTATATAATGATCTATAGAAACTATATAAACTATATAAACTATATAAAATATAACTATAAACTATATAAACTATATAAACTATATAATGTATATAATCTTGATAGCAGTTTAAAGAAGAGACAAGATTACGGTAGAATTTCAAAAGTTGACAAGCTTTAGGTAAAAACAAAAGCCAGAAATGAGATTAGCTGAGAGCCACTGCCGAGATCAATATTCAAAATTTCTCAACAAAAATTTTCGAAGATGAAAGTGCTATTGAAAATGATTTGAATGAAGGGAGGTCGGAATAGAATGGAAAGGGGAATCGGTGTCAACAAGGCTATCTCTCAGTCTCAGCCTCAGTCTTGTCTTTCCTTTCCTTTCCTTTCCACCATAACTTGTATTCCAATCCCCTTTTGAGGTTTTGATGGGAAAACGAGGAAAATCCTTCTCCCTTTCTTGCATCGTTTCAGGAAAAAGAAAACGATTTGTGTCATTGCTTCTGTTGGGAGAAAAGTTAGACAAAAATCCTTACAAAGTACATTTCAATGAATATCTACAAGGAACACTTTGCAGATAAAGAAGGGATAAAAGATAACGAGAAGGTTACCATCATTACCTTCATTAGAAGATTATTGTTTCCAGTGTTGATGAGAAAACAAAATTCTGTGAACTGGACAAAGCAAAGGGGAAAGAATTATGCGCATTTTAGAAAACTGGGAAAAGACGGCTTCCTAAAGAAACAGTGAAACAAATGAAATTTTGATTCGGAAACGTTTTAAAACAAAATTTCCTTAAATTCTTTACGAAAGAACTCCTTATGGATCCGGAAATTCCCAAATTCACTGATTGACCCCATTTATAGATATCTTCTCACCCAAACGGCAATCCCTTTCTTTTCTTTTTTTTCCTTTTTGCGATTTCCTCTAATCTCATCTCAAATAAATGTTCACATTTATGAGCCAAAAAATAAATAAATAGTTTTTGAATTGGTTTTATCAATTATTCTTTAATCGGGACCTAGTCAAAATAGCGCCGCCAAAACAGCGCCGTTCAAAACAGCGCCGTTCAAAACAGCGCCGTTCAAAACAGCGCCATTCAAAACAGCGCCATTCAAAACAGCGCCCATACAAAAATAGCGCCGTTCAAAACAGCGCCAATTTGATCACAATTTGGCTAATACCCAGGAAAAGCTGCAGAGATCATCAATTGACTTTTCGTTGAAAAAAAACGATTTAAGCAAATTGGTGAAAGATTTAGAAAAATTCACAAAAAGATAAGTCGACTGAAAAGCAAATTGAGCAAATTAAGTGATATAAGCGAAAGTTCTTGAAAGTGATATAAGCTCCATTTGGTCAGAAAAATGAAGTTTGTCTGGATCCAGAAATTTAAAATCTTGTAAAGTTGTCCTAGTAGATAAATATAATATATATTTTTTTAAAAACTTTCTTCCCTTTCCTCTTTCCCCCCCTTTTTTTTTTTTTTTTTTTTTTTTTTTTTTTTTTTTTTTTTTTTTTTTTTTTTTTTTTTTTAAATTATAATTTTTTTAAATTTTTAAAAATAAAAAAAAAAAAAAAAAAAAAAAAAAAAAAAAAAAAAAAAATTTTTAATAATAAAATTTTTTATTTTTAATAAAATAAATGGTGAATCAACACTTTCCCACAAAAGCACAAGGTCATACAAAAATTTCCGAAAAAATGCGGTGACGATAATTTGAACGAATTGATTCTCAAGATTAAAGGAGTTCAGCAAATTTTCTTGAATAAAATCCTCAAAAAGTTCTCGTTTTTTTTTGGATGAGTGCCCTCAAAAGGTACTTGAGATATGCACAATTCGTTTTTAACTAAAAATAGAGAAATTTTTTTAACAAGAACATTGTAATATTTAGAACTTAAAGAATAGAAACAAGAAAATGAAAGCACTGTTAAAGTTAGTGCCAAATAGAAATCAGCTGAAAATATTAGTCTGCCATTTTTCATATTATCTACCGTAATCCATTTCCTATTCTGCACTAAATATGAAACCTAACAAAATGGACGAATGAAGCCACCAAAATCAGCCCTTTCCCCTATTTACCCGCTTCATTTCATCTCCAATCATCGTCTGTGCTTTCCTTTTCTTTCAGCTCACTGCTGGGAAAGGAGATCAAGCAGAAGAGGAAGAAGAAATGGAAGAAAGAAAAGAAAATGATTGAGAAGGACTGGATTTCATTCATTTCAAACACATAACAATCATCTCAATCATCTCCTTTTTCATTTCATCGCCACATTCTCCTTTTCTTTCGAAATGGGAAACCACGTGCTGTCTCTTTCTTTTCTTTTTCCACTTTCGTCGCCCCATTAATCTACATCACTTCAACCCTATTGTAGTTGGGGTATCAACGACAACTTTTTCACACCAACCGCTCTTTTCATCAGATAAAAGTTCGATCCAAAACTTGTCAACCCCGATGGGCGAAAGTACAATGGCTTTTATCTCGATGCCGAATCTTTGTCAATGTTTTTGTTTTCTAAGTTTTCGCAATGAAAAAAGGTTTATCTGGGTAACTCAATATAAAATCAACAATCGGAAAATTAAATATGTCTTCTAAACAATGCTAGCTACAACAACAAGAAAACCCTATAAATAATAGATTCACTACCAGAACCACCAGCCTTTTCCTTTGTTGAAATCCTTCTGCAACGATTTCTGGAAGTCGACACAATATCTAAAAATAGGTATTGGTAAATGTTTCAGATTATTTTACAATCTTCGATAAAATAAAAACTCACTTTTGAGTACGCCCATCCAAACTTTTACTCAATTGCACAGCTTGTTTCGCATATTCGAGAGCCTTCTCTCGATTACCCGTATGCCAAAGTGCTTCCGCGTAATTGCAATAGTAACTAAATACCTTTTTTTTTATTCATCTATTAAATCCACTCACCCAGGAATGAGCCCAGCCGCTTCGTTAATGTGCAATATACGATCGATTCCAATTTCAAGATACTTCCGAGCAAGCTCGAACCTGAACGAAAGTCTTTGAGAAGTGAACATATCAACAAACCGATTTTGAACTATACACACGGCTCCAAAATTGTTGATTAACGTGATCGTGTGCTGTGAAACTCCACCATAAATCTGATAAGCAATCTAGAAAGTTGCAGAAAAATAGCTATAGCGCAAGTTACAGATCTACAACGGTTAAAAACTTACTTTCATCACCTCGTCCATATATTCTTCAGCCTCCTTCAAGCGATCCTCATCCCGATAGGTAACCTAAACTTGATATTTTTTATTGATATATATTGATTAAAATTCAAACCAAAAAATGAGCATACGCTTCGAGCGCCATCCCAAAAAGAGCAATTGGATCAGTGTACTCGGGACCAAAGGCTTCCACTAAATCAAAAATTATTTTATACTAAAACAACTTGTACCTCTATGTCTGTCTTCAACCATTGCTCCATGTGATATCGAATACTTTTTCATATGCTCATCAAGAACCTGAAAAAAATGTTTGCTTACTTTTCCAGCTTTAAAAGCTGAGTTTTCAACGTACCTGCATTTGCTTTCGGAGACAATGCCTGAAGCCAGTTTCCGCGTGCTCCAAATTCCCTTGCGCAGCAAAGATTTCCGCTAACTTCAGCGAAATTCCAATGAACTCCTTTGACGAGTCGCGAAAACTATGTAAACGCATCAAACTGAAGGCTAGGTATATAAAAAGTTAAAAGAGAGATCACTTACCGATCAATGACAACTTTAAAATATTCTTCAGCTTTTGCCAAATCGCCTTTCTGATAATGGGTATTCGCAATTTCATCCAATACTCTTGTTATGGGAAGTTCTTCACCTCGTTCCTAAACTTTAAAAAGTTTATAACGTATTACTGCAAACTACCTTGACTTCTTCTAGCACTTCATCAAGAGTTTGGAGTGCACTATCAAACTTCCCAAATTTCCGATCAAGCCATGACTAAATTGGACCCAACATTTAAAGAAAACAACAAATTATCCAAACCTGTTTTATTTTATCCTTGATTGGATCTTTATCTAGCTGAACTTTTTCGATTCCCAGAAAATCCTTTAACGTAACAAACCATGAAAGAGCGATTAGTGGAGCTCCGGCCTGAAAATTGTTAAGTCAATGCCTTAGACCGTGTTTACCTTAAACTTGATATCACTTTTCGATCCTTTAGAATTTCGCTCTTCATCTTGTTCATTATTTCTTCCAGATCTTCGATAAAAACCACGTCGATGTACTAAACATCACATGAAAACACACTTAAAAATCTATCAGTATTGCTTTTCGAACGACTAACTCCGGGAAAATATTAGCATTAAGGTGCTTTTGAGTGCCTATCAACCGTAAATATCAATTCAACTGCTTACTTTGTTCTAATTGAGATGCGGTAGCCAGTGTTGTTGGTTGATGTTGAATCAACGGAGCTACTCGAAGAAAACATCGACTGATTCCGGCTAGCATCGATCACTCTGAAAATGACATGTTCACTTGTTTAAAGCATTTACATAAGGTAACGATTGTTGTGACGAGTATTTTTGTCCTCCTTAATTCGGTAACAACCATTTATCAAAGATTCCCATAAATCTCAATATAGAAATTTTGTGGACATAAATTTACAATCATGAATAGATTTTTAAAATATCAACTAAACGTAACAAAACCTTACATTACCACATTTCAATATCACAAGAATACGAGCTAGAGCAAAATTTAGGCCGAAACAAGGGGAGACCCGAAATTGAGCATCAAAAACCAAAGTGAAGCACAAAAGGCACAACAAACAAAGTAATAAATGGTCAATCAAGAAAATAAACTATATCGCTTGACGTAGTTCTATGCGAAATCTTCCTCCTCCTTCCTTGTCGGGTAGCGAGGCAATGGATATCCAATTGGAGGCAACATTGGTGAAGACTGATGTGGTGGCAACTAAATACTCGACTTTCATTTCGTGTTCACATAAATCAACCGTTAAATTCAATTTACCTGTGTAAGATAACCCTCCATATTTGGGATGTCTTGCATCACTGGAGGCTGCATTGTTGCACCAGGCATAAGCCACGAAATTCTTGGATATCCATTCCAACGAACTGGCGGAATATTCATTGGTCCTCGAGCCAGAATTTCCAACGGGTTCCACATATCCACATCAATTGAGCTTGATGATCTTAAGAAAAATAAGCTTTAATTCAGTAAGATCGTCAATACCCATTTGGATGTTCATCAATGTTAGGGGTACAATTGCTAGACGAGTCTGCAACACCCGAAACTGTTTGTGGAGCAACTGTTGCAGTTGGTCGTTCACCTAAATAAACTTTCTTGCTTGTGTTAATAGTTTTTCATACCAATTGCACCAATTTGCTTCTTAATTGACTGGCTTGATGGTGAAACTGAGCCAGGTGATCCTAACGCTTTATTCCGTTGTTCACCTGAACAGGAATTTTAATGCATGATAAAAAAACACCAACCGATAACACCAGGACTAGAGAAGAGTGGGCGAAATACAGTTGGCCGTTCAACTTTGCGAAAAGTTAATTCAGCCTAAATGTTTTAACCAAGGTTTTAATAATTTAAACTTACTTTAGATGGATCCAATGAACCAGCATTAACCATTTCCATCTTTCCACTTGCTTCATTACGAAGCTCTGTCAAAGTTGAGTTCAACGTATCGACAAATGTCTTCCATTCAATAATTGAACTAAATACATGAAAATCATTGTCCTTGTCCAGCTAAAACAGACCTTTCAAGTTTTGACGAAAATTCTTGTTCACGCGCCGAATGCGCGCGCAGGTTATTGGCATATATTTCAAGCTCGCTGACCTAAAAAAATAATAGATTGCAAAAATTTTAAAGTAACCTCTCGCTGAGCATCTGAAAGCATGTACTCACGCAGAGTAATAGTAGCCTCAAAGCGAGTAACCATGGCATTGATCTAAAAAGGTGATTCTAAAATCATAAACACTTTGCATACATCAGATTCCTGAATTCTGAGCGAAGCATTTTCCAAAGCACTGTTTGCTTGCTTGTTTGCATCTGCAAGAGCGCGTTTTTCCTTCACATCTACAGACTTCAAATCACGAATTGTCGCATTTGCCTGGCGTAGCTTGGCTTCAATCGAACTCTTCTCTCTAAAAAACGAGTTTTTGAGACAACTGAGCATTTCTACTTTGCAACTTGAGATTCACGCATGCTTGCTTCTTTCTTCAGTTTATCCAGTTCAACTTGCAATTGATCTCGTTCCAGTTTCAAGGTCTTAAGCTCATCAGAATGCTTCATCTTCAATGAATTCGTGTCGCGTTTCTGATTTTTAAGTCTAAACTTTCATTACTTTTTCAAAATTGATGAATCTATACTTTTCATCTTGTTCAGTTTTGTCGGTAAATAATTCATTGATTTTCGCATCATCTTTGAGGCTCTAAAGCTAATAAGTTCATTTTTGAAAAGTGAAGCCAACCTTTTTCTCAAGCCTTTTATTATCATTTGTCTTCTCTCTGAGTTGCTTGTTTAACTGTTCTACTTTAGATTTTGATTCAGAAGATTGCGCCTAAAGAAGAATAATGAAAATAAGATTAAAATGGATAAATACCTTTAATTCTTCAAGTTTTTTCTTGGTTAACTGATGCGCAGCTTGTTCATTTTGTAAAGACTTCGTGCGGAGTTCCAATCGACGTTGCAAATCGCCATGGTCACAAGTAGAAATTCTAAAAATATAGTCTTGTTACGCATAACTTGATTAGCCCTTACTTTTCAGGCACCGTACTTTCGACCTGTTGTGAAACCTGACTAAGTGCATCGCCGAAGCTCTTGAAGCGACCAATGGCTGTGTACATTGACTAAAATTAGTTTAAATGCCAACATTTTACATTGCATTAATTAACTGCATTAACGTGCATTAACTTGAAAAAATTTCATTTTCATAATTTCACTACCTGGTTAAAAGTCATAAGATTTTCAGCAACATCCCTCAAGTCTGAATTGTAAGCTCTGTCTCCCGATACACTAAAAGTTTTCACTTCACTAAAACCAAAACAACGCTTACTTTGCATGTAATTCCTCTCCCTCCTCTATTTCTATTTCTTCTTCTTCTTCTGAACACATTTCCAAAGAAGCACTTTCCGAAGCATCGGTTTCTGAGAGAGCTGTGGTAGTGCTACGAGAATCGTCCGAGTTAAACTCTACATCTAAAAAACTTCTACTAAATGTGCCAAAAAAACAATATACCCATCGAAGATTTATCCACAGATGCTTCATCATCAAGAGCCAATCTGAAGCAGATTAGTGGGAAAAAACTCTTAAGTAATTACTTTCCACCGGAGAGACGGCCAATCAAAGTGCCCATCCTCTTGCCATGGAATAGTTGCTCAGATTTTTCCAGAAAACGTTCAACCTAGAACAAATCAAATAAACTTATTAAAGTCAAAACATACCTCTTGGGTCATTCTGTCACATTGATAGTTTGCCATACCAATAGCAAAGAACATAGCCATATTTTCATGCTAAATGCTTTGTATAAAGGGAAACTCTAAATTAAAACCTGCTCCATTGGGCTGGTATTTTCTAGTTGAGCCTCATGTCTTTCTTGATACAACTTGAAGTCCTAAAAAGCGTTGTTTATTTTTAAGAAATATCTCATGGTTAGACCTTTTTGAAGAAAGATATCATGGTAGCCATTGTGTCCACGTCATCACAAAGCCATTTAAGCTGTAACAGGCATACATTATCATAATTCTGTTATGAAATCAGACAATAATAAATGATTGATTTACTCACATGTTGATTCTTTTTGAGTGTTTTTTCGGTAGATCCATTAGTCTTTTGTCCATTAATGTTTTTTTCTTTCTAAATCAGACTTATTTCAGTGCTAAGTGTAACATTATTCTCACCGGTTGCTGCAAAGCTTTGAATGCGTCCAACAAGCAGCTAACGTGATGATCGTCTAATAAAACTGGACTCACTTCCGTCATTCCCTTTGGATTTTTGCGAGCTGCCTGCAGCTAAACGTTAACTGATTACGAAACGTGTATCAAAAATTACAATTGGTCGTTTATGGAAAAAAAGCAATTCAGGAGTAGTTGGCCGTTTATCGCGTTTGTAACCATTTTCCTTTGTTAACGCTTCTTCCGGAATTCCTTCATCATTAGATTCTTCATCTTGTGTAGAGGTCGTTTCTTCTGTCGAGTTATTCTCCGATGAATTCTGATGGCACCATTCAACGTCGTCTTCATCACCTTCTTCCTCGCGATCCATTGTGATATCTTCTGTCTGGCAGCTGCTTTCGGCAGTCGCAATCTAAAACACAATAAAATATTAAAAGTAAGGAGAAATTAACCTGTACTTGGCAGATTTCAGCTAAATCAACCGCTTGCCCCATATCTGTGTATGACCCTTCAGATTCTGCGCCGAGATCTTCATCGTCAACCTTCGCTTCCCCACGAGATTGATTGGAGCCCGTACCAATTGGCAAATCAGCTCGCTTTGCAATCTTCGAACCGGAGCAGGCTCCCTAAATCTTGCCGTAATTATAGCTTTAGGACCAAATCACCTCTGTATGATTTGCTTCTTGATGAGACTTGCAAGTTGGGCGAATCTAAATAAACAGTATAAATCTTCTGCTAGACCTAAAGTTCTATCAACACGACTATGCCAAAAGCGGATAGCAAAACTAAAAACAAGCAATCTTGATGAGTTAGTAATAGCTTTTTCTCAAAAACTGCGAATAACAAAACGTATTGGTCAGTCAATGAAGTTAGCATAGTCATTGCTTTTCTTGCATTTCCAAGACTACTAACAGTTGATCCAGGCGGTCGTGGAGATGAGCAGGGTGCACGAGGTGTGCGAGCAGAATTTCTTTGTGCAGAAGTTGGCTTAACGTCACAATTAACAACAGTTAGCAAAACAATCAAGTAGCGAGCTACATCGACCAACAAACTCAAGCGAAAATACCTTTGAGGTTTTCTTTAAATGTGTGCATTGGCGTTTTGCTTTATGTAGACGGCAAAATTCGTTATTGCACATAGGCCCAGCAATGGCTAAAAATAACATTGAGATTCAGAAGAAAAGAAATTTCAGACCCGATCTTATGGCAGCTCGCCCTTCAGTTTGTGGTTGTTTCTTTGGTGATGATCCATCTAAAACTAATATAATTAAATTTATCTTAGTAAAAATTACCTTCTAGTCGTTTAATGCTTTCCACGAGTTTTTGCGCCACAAGAGCATCTTTCTGTGTTTTCAATTGTTTCGCCATTTCCGGGTCCTTATTCTAATTTTTTTATAAAAATTAGTTTGTATGGGCAAATCAAACCTTGCAATAATCAACGGCTTGTTGATTGGCCTCAATAGCAAGATCAACTCGATCGTTGTTCATATGGTTTTCAGCAAGGCGATACCATTGCTTTAATTTGAACAGAAAATCGTCTTTTGTCATCATATTCTTTGGCGCTTCAGCTCGAACGACGATCTCCACAATCACTGATCCATTCTTGATATATCCTTGTGACTCGTCAATGATTTCCTAAAGAGTCCAATTGCACGAAGAACTAGAGACACCTACCGCCCACGTCATAAAACAAGAATATCCCCAATCGTTCTCTTTCGAATTGTAGATATGCGTCGTTTTTCGAACAAAATTTTGATTACCGCGCTTCTGTGCCAGTAGCCTCATCTCAGCAATTGCTTGGCACGTCCATTTGCTAAACCCACGAGTTATTTGCTGTAAAACGTTGCTTACTCATTGTAGGTGTTAGCAGGACAACATTGGAGAAAGAATGCCAGACATTTTTGTGTCTTTTTCCCAGTTGTATGCTGTTTTGGCATAATCATGATTCGCCTAAACATGATACTTTAGTTTTAAAAGTGTATTTCCAACCATGGAACACCATTGATAATCTTTGATGGTGAACACATCGTATCCTCCAAATGATGAAAATCGGCTACAGAAAGGCGCAAAAGGCCATCTTCTGTTTGTGTTGTGCCTGTTGATGGAGTCACCTAAAACTTAAGAATTGACATCGAAAATAATACGACCAACCGGCTGGGCATTTTTATTGCCATTATTTTGTGAAGTCGTTGGTTCGTTCGATCCAAAATCTAAAAGCCAACACGTTAGCCCAATAAGTTTAACAAAGATTTTTACCCTTTGTTGCCGCAAGCAATTCCTGCTGTGTTTGACAACCGACACTTACTTTTCCAGGCTTGAGCCTAAAACAACCAAAAAAATGGCTATCCATGAAATTTCTACCTGACTGGCGGATCCTCCCCAGGGTTTGTCATTCAACTCGATCGTTTCGTAACAAAATTGTTGTATTCTAAAGTTTCGAATAAAATATCTAGCAATGAACAACGAGAAACTGGAAAGCAACATTTCAAAAAGAAATAGATCCCATCTTGTAGTACGCGTGCCTATTGACGTTTCATTTCAACGGTGGGGTGAGCGAGAGAGAAGGTGAGTTGATCAGCGGGTGGTCATCGAAATGCTTTTCAATGAAACATCTACAACACCTGTAATAGTAGCCCCCCCCCCCATAATGGCGTACAGTCGCGTAGTCGCTAAAGTAAATAATTTTTTTGAACGCGCCCAGATTCTTCTAAAATAAACTGTTAGTACCAAAAAATTCTCCGCTTTAAGCGCTATCTTTTGATAACTAAGCGCACATTTTTCGTCGAAGCAGCGCGGAGAACCGAGCGTCACAAGATTGTGTGTTAGACTACGCGACTGTACGGGGGGCGCTACTATTACAGGTATTAGGGTAACAGCTAGCGTATTCAAGGATTATTGGGCCCGCTTTGAGCTTTAGAGTAGAGCAAGTGTATGGGACTTTGATTGACAATCAACAAGATCAACTAAAAAAAATGAGGATACTAAATGAAAAACAACGGACCAGCAAAAATGCGAGTGAAAATTATGCAACAAAAAACCAGGTTCACTTTTGGGTACGGTATTTAATGTGACTTTTCACTTTAAATATGAGAAGAACTTTATTACCCGGCACTTGTTTGTAAAACGAGATCAAATTTCAAACGCTAACGAAAGTTTTCATTTATCCGGCTGCTGCAGATCGTGGCTGTCGTCGGAGTATTTGAGGTAGAGATCGACTTTTTCGGATTGTCGTCCTCGCAGCACATTCTTGTGTGAAAGTACACAATAAGACAACGTAGCCGATGAACTAAATTCTCTTGTTTCGTTCATTTCTTACGTGTAGATCTGATCATTGGATCAAAGGCTGCCCAACCTTCAGGGTCCTTTATTCCCCTCAAATAAGCCCCTTTTAAAACATGTCAACTTTTGGAACCTACAGTAATCTTGTCTCTGGTGTTTCCCGGTTTCTTTTTTCTGTATTGTGAAGGGATAGATAAGCACTTGGAGTAAGATTACGGTAGCTTTGGGAAGAGTCTAAGGAACACATTCTAAGAGTTATCCTGGTAAAAAGTATGTTCATTGTTGAAGTGTAAATCTCATTATTAAGTGCTAATTTGGGACTTCAAATGCTACAAACCATGCACGATCCATTTGCTTCATACGGCGTTTGCAATGATAACAATATCATCCTCATCAAGCACAAAGTCGAGAGAGAAAATTGATTGATAAGACTCTGAAATTTTAGTTTATCAGATCCGGTACGGAACAGTACAGTACTAAGCCTTACACGCAAATTCGGTTTAACTTTAAACTCACCTTGGATTTTGGTTGATCACCCGAATTTCTATACTTTTCATATTCATCAAGCCGAGATCTGTAAATGTTTGAGTCCAAATATTCTTGAGGTAAAGTTACTGATGGTGTGAAAGAATGATCAGCGCCCAAGCTGTCCATAAAGCCATTGAGAAAATCCCATCATAGATGAGATGGACACAAAGTTGGACAAGGGTTAAGACCTGAATAGGAAGATGATTGTGGATCAAATTTTAAACACTTACTGTTGTATAGAAGTGAAGGCTGTTCAAAAGGTACATGTCGTAGTGAATAGTCATACTGAAATAATGATTGGATTGTTTGTTGATACAGAGTGCAAGATGGGTTCAAAGTAAGCAAGGAAAATAAAGCCTGATAAGTAATTTTTAGAAACTTTGACAATCAACTATTTATTTGAATATATTTTGAAAGGCACATTTTGATGAACATGAGTTTTTTATTGAGTGAATGCGGGAAATGACCTTCAAAACCCCCATCAACCCCTCCACATGCCCTTTCTCTTCTTGTTGACCATTGTTTAGGTATTACGAAACCAAGAAAGTTGCCTGGTTGCTTATCGATAAAGGTAGAAAAGAAACGATTACAATATCTAACTTCAGCTTTCAGGATATTAAATGTTTCTATAAGCAAGTTTATCCTGTGATTCTATACAGACTGGAATTCTATACAAAAAACTGGAATTGACTCGTTATTCGAAGAATAATGAGTCCACCAGAAATGAAATGTTTGCATTTTTAAAGTCAAGTCTGTCAAATCCAGTCTGTAAAGCTTAAAGTAAACTGGTTAAAGAAATTCGAGGCGGTAAACTAAAAGACCGTTAAAAGTGTAAACCTGTTTCCGGTAGGGAAAATTGTGGATCGAATAGAAAACAAATCTCTCCAGCATTCTCGACTCAAAACGATAAAAGAAAAGCGGTTCTTCGAGTCTTTCAGTTGACACAGCTGCCATTTATTCCCCTTTTCACTCTTTCATTGATGTTTGTATGATTTGCGGTGAAGAAATTTCTTTCTACTAGTATCGATTTTATTACAGTTATCTCATATTTGAACACTATTTTCTTAAATTTATCTACCTGAGCTTAGCTACTTACTTGAGTCTAAACCTACAACAGTTCATTCTGTTCTTGGGGATAGGGAAATAAAGAAATACCGAAAATCGATAGCAAAATTGTTAAAATTTTGAGGAGAAAACAAAAAAAAAACACCAATGAAAGCAATTGGAAAAGGAAAAGCGATTGCCTTTTCTCTGAAAGTCATATGGGATCCGAAAAAAAAAATGAGAAAGATCTCTCGCAGAGATACGATGTACAGGAAACCGTTCTTTCAGCTTTTGTAAACTGGGAAATGAAGAAGAGAATGGAGAGGATTGAGTGTCGGACTTATCATTAATGGGAGTATATGAGACTTTAAGTGGTTTACTGGTTATTGTAGGTTAAAGGTACTGTAGGTCAGTGCTATAGGTCAACCGTACTGTGGGTAAAGGTACTTTAGATCATTGGAAAATATAATGTAGTAAGAGAAGAGACAATTACAATTTGCACCGTAACTTGTAATTTTTAAGGGAAAGATGTTGAAATCTCTAAATTTAATGCAAGAGTTTTAGTATAACTCCAAAATTGTCTATCCTATGTCTTTTGGGGCTCTTTATATACGATAGATCACGTTCTTCCGATCGTTTCCGGAAAAAACATCGGAGTTTCCGGACTTCCCGTTTAAAATTAATTACTAAACTAATCAAAGAACTCGTTTTCCAAAGTGGAACACTCTCCATTATTATCTACTGAGCGGATCTTCGGTGATTCACGAGTTGCATAGTTGCAATATCAGAAAGACACTGCCAGGTTGGGGGTGGGACAAATACGGCCCTTTTTTTGCGCACCCGACAAGAAGTGCACCTTTTTTGCTGGAAAAGGCCGTACAGCTTCAAAAATGTTCCATGTAAGGGAATCGTATGCGTAAATTTCTAATTTCGACAAATCAGGCCTTGCTGAGACGTCAAATTTGGGCTAAAAGGCAAAAACTACGCAACTTAACGCTTTTCCGCAATTTTTGCCTTCTAGCCCACTTTTGAAGCTCTACGATCTTTCCTAAGGCCTTTGCCAGCGAAAAAAAGTGCGCCAGCGAAAAAAAGGTAGCATTTGTCATTGAAGCCAGCGAAAAAAAAGGTAGCATTTGTCCCATCGCCGCCAGGCTTCTTAAAACACTGCATAACACAAAAGCTATGGCAAAAGACTCAAAATCTGGAAAATAACAATATTTTTTCCGTTTAAGCCAGATCGAAAGTAAACTGACGGTTTGATTACGGTAGTTCAATATCAATATTGTTGATTTAACAATGGAACAATGTGATTTCCCAATTTGCATTTGTAACTTTGATTTTGTCTAAACTATCAAATTGTCATGTAACAAGGCAAAATTTGCATTTTATAGTCAAATAAAACAGTATGGTCATCTATCATCTCATTTTCTTCAATGCCGTCCAATCGGTCCTCTTGGGCCACTTCCGAAGCGCCAGCCGGGTATGACTTTTATATTGTTGTTGTTGTTGTTAACTTTTTGTTATTTTGGTTGTTGGGAGAAAGCATTTTTGTCTTTAACCACCAAAGTGCTACTCTTATTATTATAACAGTTATCTTTATTGCTTTTTATTGAGTGATAGATGCCTCTGGGTGCTATACGGGTCGGGGGGGGGCTAAAAATTTTATGCTAATTTCGCTTTTTGTATTCTAAATTTTGCAATAGCTATAAAGATTTATGGAGCCAGCTTAAGCGTCAGATTAAGTGGTGAAACGGATTAAAGGGTGAGCTTTGGGACGACCACTACTATGAAGCCTTGTGGAAGTGGCAGCATAATACTCAAAGCTTGATGTATGAGTTCTGGGAACTTGTTGCTGATCGTTATCCTCTGACTTAAGGTGTCTTATTGTATTGTTGTTGATAATGTTAATTTTAATTCCTAAATATTGTTACCTAAAAGAAAACAAGCAATTTTGTGATGTGGAACATAACTGGAAACAAAAATTAGCATATAAAATCTTTGGGCCCCCCGGTCCGTATAGCACCTGCTTCTGATTCTCTAATTTGAATATTAATGTTTCTTATTTTTAGCTTATTTGAACAATTTAGTGATACAGCCTCTCGTCCTCGTGATCGTCATAAAATACCGCTCGCTCGATTCGCCAATGTAACTTTTTGTGCGTCATATTTCTCACCTCTGATTTTAGGAAAAGTCAGGAAAATTGGAATCGGCCAATTCGCAAAGCCAGGTAACATTTGAAATTTAATAGTTAATGGAAGTAGAATGGTCACATATAAACGTTTTATTTTAGAAAACGACTGAAGGGCAAACAAAAGAAGCAACAACGGAGACGTCGGTGAAGTCGCCTGACGTCAAATTTGAGAAACGTTCAAAGAAAGCGCAAAAAGTACATTAATTTACGTTATAACTTTGGCTTCATTTCTCAACTCAGCTAATTTTGACGTTTTAGAAGAGCAAAGGTTTCAAGAAGGGCACGAAAAAAGGCGGTGAAGTAGATGGAACGAGTGCTGCTACGGGAAGAGTGCCACCAAAAATCACCCGAACGATGAAGAAACGTCGCAATTGGATTTGTCTCGGTGTCACTGCAGTTCTTTTCATTGCTGCTCTAAGTATGTTAAAAGGCTTTGCCTTGTTTATAAAGTTCTATTTAGTTGTGATTGCCTTCGTGGTGGGCGTTGTCGTGGTCTTGCCAAAATTTGATACAACTGCTGAAGCTGCTAAGCCAACAACTCTCGTGCCGCCAAGGATTCCAACGACAACAATCAATCCTCCAAAACCTCCAGACACTACATCCATGCCTACTACAACGACGTACTTTCTTCTTAGCAGATTTTAATAACTTTTTAATTTAGTCAAAGCGAAGCAAGCAAGTTGGAGGCTGCTATCAGAAAAGATTTTCGAAACGATGAAGCCACGAAATACCAGGAAGAAGTCTATGAAATTGGTGGCGCTTATCCAAATGTCACAAATCTAAAGCTGCTGTAATGTATTTTCTTTTTATTTCATCAATTTTAATTCAGGAGCACAACCTGGCAAATTCCAACGGAAAACTACCGACCTCTTGGATATCAACTGCGACTTTTCGTCCGTTTGCCTGGATATGGAATTGACGACGCCCCGATTCCTAAAAAGCTGCATTGGACAACTCTTGGAAAAGTCAGAATCTTGGTGAGTATTTTCAAATGGAGTGATGGTAAAATTTGAATGTTTAGATCGAGATTGACAAAAATCCGGAAAACTTTATTGAACTGCATTCAAAGAATCTAAAGATTAAAGCGGCTACTCTGCGTGAAGTTCAATTGAAAAACAAGAACGAAGACGCGATTTTCAAGTACAAACTTGTCGGACAAACGGTAGTTTCACTTTTTTATTGCTCAATGTTTTTTATTTAGCGTCGCTTGGCTTTTCAACACAATGAACAGATTGAACGTGTTGGATTCGGAGATGGAAAACCTATTTTAGCAGGAAAATACATATTGGAGGTACTGATTGTGGCTTTTTAAATGATATATTAATTATATTTTGTATAGATTGTCTATGACGGTGAAATCAATAACACTTTGACTGGCCTCTATTCATCGTGCACCACCGATAGCCAAATAAAAAAGGGGAGTTGTATAGCCACTACTCAAATGGAACCAACAAATGCACGCATGATGGTGCCATGTTTTGATGAACCGCGATTCAAGGTTGACTGTACAATGCTGATTTTACTAATCATGGGCATAAATTTAGGCTATTTGGTCTCTCATAATCTTTCACCCTACAGGAACAGAGGCTAATTCGAATATGAATAGCGAGTTTTCTGAAATCGAGTATGTTTAAGTCATTTTTGCACGGCCTATAAATAATTTTAGTTCAATCACTGGTTCTGAAGCACGTCTCACCTGGAACATCACGAAATTTGCCAACACACCCAAAATGTCCTCGTATCTGTTGGCTCTAGTGGTGCATGCATGGGAAGGGCCGGACACAATTACCACAAACAACGTTGAGGTATTATTGTTATATTCTATATTTTGTTTTAAAATGAGCTAGTCTTTTGTTGGTGGGAGATTTTTAATATGCGTTAACCTTGACTGTTTTTAGATTCGAGTTTACGCGCATCCCTCCAAAAAAGGCCAAACTGCATATGCAAAAGAAATCGCTTCAAAAGTGGGGCATAGTTTAATGCTAATTGTGCTATGGTTTGTTTAGGCTCTTAGCAGTTTCGAACAATTTTTTGGTGTCAAATATCCGTTGCCCAAACTTGGTTGGTTTTAAGAGTTAGTTGTTTGTCATTAATTGTTTATTTTAGATTTGTTTGCAGTTGCGCGCTATGAGGAAGGAGCAATGGAAAATTGGGGATTGATGATCTTTAAAGAGCGGGTAATTTGTTTCATTTCCTATTGAGCGTAAACCAAATGTTTAGTGGCTTTTGGTCGACCCGAAACACGAATCTGTGAGTGAAAAAATACAAATAAGGAACACAATCAATCATGAGATTGGACATCAGGTAGTATTAATTTGATCATGATCCGGTTACTATCTGAATTTAGTGGTTCGGTAATTTGGTTACGATGAACTGGTGGAATGAGATCTGGTTGAACGAAGGATTTGCCGATTTTGCTGAATTCCTAGGACGTTTGTCTCACATGTCATTTGATGACGCAGTGAGCGATTAATCTTTTAAATCAAAAGTTTGTCTACTTTTTTAGGTCATTGAATATTTGCTAAATGAGCGGAATAAAATCATGTATGGTGAAGGTGCATACGCACAAAAACGGATGGTCGAAGATTTCAAGCAAAAATATCCAGATGGTCGCTACAATGTACGTATTTTCTGTATGACTTTAAAGTTTATTTGACTCTTTTAGAGATACCCAAGAACGCCGATTGAGATTCGCTATATGTTTGATATGCATGCTTACGCAAAAGGAGGCCTTGGAATCTTCTCAATATTCAAAGCTTTGGGTCCTCATCGCTTTTTTACTAACATCAAGGTAATATTTTCGCAGCATTGTTGAAAAACACCGTTCTATTAAGGCTTACCTCGACAAGCACAAATATTCGACATCGCATAGTATGGATGTGCTTGGAGAGGATTTGTTCAAAGACCAATTGTGGATAAATGCTCAAAAGATTCTCGAAGATCACTTGACTAATGTAAGCATTCATTTCACAAACTTCGATCAATTAATATTTTTAGATCGGTTTGCCATTGTTGATTGTGAGTCATCCCAATGAAAGGCAATATAGGATCACACAGAAACGTTTCGTTTACCCACAGGATCAACCTCTCGCACTGCCCCAGAAGTAAGAAATAAAATGATTGGTTAATTGAGATTTGAATTATTTTAGGTACTGGAATCTTGAACTTTACTTCAAAAACGAGGACACCAAAAAGCTCGAGACGAGGCAATTCCCCGATCTAAAACCGGACAAAAAAGAAAAAGGGCTAATTGGTTTGTATTATGGATAAATTCAGTTACAATCAGATTATTTATTTAGAGAGAAATCTGATCTCAGCGTTCCCACCAATTATCAATATGGATGGCCGAGCCTATACGCGCGTTTGTTATGGAAAGAATTGGCCGCTTGTTTTTCAAGCATTTCGTTTCGCGGTGAGTCTTCAGCTTTGTTTCACTTTACTTTTTTTTCTTTAGAGATTTCCTTTGCTTACTCGGATTCTCATTTACGACGATTTGTTCTCTATGGCTGCTGCTGGACGAGTCAATTATGGGATTGCTCTCGAGTTCGCATATTCACGTCTTAAAAAGGTAAATTTATACCAACATTCTTTCGTGTACCAGATATCTACATATTTGTATGCCATTGGATGTTTATCGATTTAGGATGTTGAAAGCGATCAACGTGCTTTCCAACATTTGGCCAACATGGTGAAAGAGGTTTTGGACAGAGTCCTAAACTCCAAAGACCGAGCAAACGTAGACGTTATTTACGTGAGTCATCTTTGAAAGCGATCGGAAATGTGTGAATTGTTTAGAAAGCGCTGGATGAATTGTTCAAAATTACAAAGGGAGAAGTGGTGAGAGACAAGAAAAGGTTCGTCTCCTTATTGTGGCTATTTAATTGCTGTTTTTAAGCTATGCAAAGAAAAGTAACACCTATGAGATCCAATTGATGGAGATTGCCGAGATGAAAGCATCTGAGACTGAATATCGATTAGCGTAAGGATATTCTGTTTAATTGCTTTTATGTTTTATTGTTTAGACATACAAGGGAAAAGTTGCTCAACTTCATGGATCAGCTTCAACCAAACTCATCGAAACTTGAAGATGCAAAGTTTATGCAAAAGTTCAAGATTATTGGAATGTTTGATTTAGGCAACTCTACATTGAACGGGCATTCAACCCTTGCAAAGCCGATCAACAGTTGAGCGAGTGCGTACTGTAAGTTTTGTTTTTATGCACACTTTTATTCATTCTATTCTTAGGGATATCCCTTTTGGTGCTCGAGAGAAATTCTACACTGATGCCATTTTGAGTGAATCGGATGACAATGAAATGATTGCAGAACATTTGTCCAGAAAATTGGAGATTGAAAGTGAGTCGCTTATTCTGGTTGACTGGTTGTTTTATTCATTTGTGCTTTAGCCGATATCAATGAAGCGGAGAAGATTGCTTGTGCACTAGCGAGTTCGAAGAAGTGGAAATATCAGGAAATGTATGTGTAATTGGTTCTTTTTCGGATTGATTGTTTTTTTGTAGGATTTTGAACGATTTGATCCAATCATTATCGAGGCCAACTCGTGTGAGCCTTCAATCGGTCGAGAAGGTGATGAAATGTTTGAAGAAAAATGGAGAAAAGAAATCTCATCGGGTCGATTATCTCCTTAACAATACACAACACATTTATCGAAGGTATCGAAAAATTTGTAGATTTTGATAAATTGAATAATATTTAGTCTGAAAGGGTCGCAGAATGCGATGATCGCTGTGTACAAGGGACTTGTTGCTGGTGTTCAAAGCGAAGATGACATACAAAAAGTGGATAACTCTTACCCTGGATTATCGATAGTCATGGTTTAGGTGAAAGAAAAGCTCGAGTCCAGTGAACTTGATGAACACCCAGAGATTAGAAAACTGCAATTTTGGGGTGAAGCCGTTGAAGAGTATAACATCAAAACTTATTGGCATGCACATATGAAGGTTGGTTTGCTATGGAGATCTTTATGAGTTCTTTTAATTAAAAGGCTGTAAGCTACGATATGGATTATAAAGATTTTATTAAATTGAGCATTTGGATGGATTAACCAACCTCTTAGAATTGTACTGCTTATAGGAAGACGTATTGGAATTCTACCGGAAACGCTTCTCCGCCCCGCTTCCTCCTGTGAGAAATGATCCCGCACATGTGGATGGAGAATAGATGGATGAACAATGGACAACCACTCTTCATCTTCATGTCACTTCATCCCCCCGTCTACTCAGCGAAAAAAGATGATTCGTACAACAGTTTTTCTTTTGTTTCTACCGATATGTGATGATGCTGTGCAAAGATAAACAACGGCTCACTGACACACAAAATACGATTGATTTAAACATTTTGTCGCTTTGAAGTTGGAATCCGCCAATTTTGATCGTTTTCTTCTCCACACATAGAAAGTCCGATGAATATGGAGAAAGGCTTTAAAAGTTGGGGTTTCACTACTTTGAGTTTGAGTGTCTCACACCATGTTTCGTCTTTTGTAGTTTATTTTTCTTTCCTTTTATTATTGGTGACATCGAATGGGTTAGAGATTTCTGTTGAACGCTTAAAAAAAACAAAAATCATAGCACCCAAAAGAAGATTATGGTTGAATTGTGAGTTGAGAATGATATTCAAGTTGTGAGACAAATTCAAGCACAATCACAGCTTATAGGGGAAAGCGATGGGCTGTCGAGTTGGGCAAGTCAATGAAATGAGCGAATACTGAATCCAATTCATTGGTCACTGTACCTGACAAATACTGTAGACAAGCATAAAGCAATTCAGCTCTCAAGGATGCTCTCCGTTAGCCACAAACACCGACTCAATCCGCTCAAAAGTCTCAATTGTTATTTCCAATTTTCCAAGCTATAATATTTCCAATTCCAAGCTTATCTCACCATACACAGTTACGGTCAATTGTTACTTTATCCATATGAATACAAAAAAGAAACTGCATCTGAAAATATCGACTAGTTGGTAGGGGAAAATGAAGGATACTTGAATGGGGCAACTTTTAGAAATTAATTGCCGAGGAGATGAAAGAAGCGATGAAAAAGGAAACTGGGAACAAATGTAAACCGGGGAGTGCTTCATACATATATGGGTTTTGTGGGAATTGAAAAACTTCCTAATAGTGCTTTTCAAAACCACAAATTCCAAGACAAAAAATTCCAGATTTAGCCTCGGGAGCGGCTGACGATTATGGAGCATTTCTGGACATTCCCATCGTTTTCACCATGGAGTTGGCTTCAACTAGCAAAAACGGGTAAGAATCTAAGAGAAATTACCGTAATAGTGACCGTAATAGTTAAAAATGTGTCGACTTTCGACGACTACCGTAATTTTGGCCCTAGTTTTTATCCGACCTTTTTATCCTATCTACTTTCTGATTCTGTGAGGGTTCATGGAGGATACAGAAAGATATCAAAAGTATTATTAGGTTGGAAAGAAAGTTCTCAGAAAAAGCTTGACTAGAATTTCCTAAAAACGAATCCACCAATTCAAGAACATTTTATTCTATTGTTTACAAGTCGACTCCAAGAAATTACTCGTAAAAAAATGAGTGCAGCTTTTGCTTAAAATTTTAGAGATTTTTGAAAGATTATTATCTTCCAGCTTAAATGCAGCTCACTTTTTGCATTAGAAAAATGATTGGTTTTGAGGTAAAGCTAGTATAAATAAGCAATACACTTTATAATCTCTATTTTTGGCCAAGAAATTTTTTTACAGAGAAGCCGTATTTCAAAAAATCATTTTTTGGTGTCATCTTCTTGGCACTGAGTGTTTGCTAAAATACTGTTCATTCTGAAAAGTTAAAGCATTAAATAAAATTTGCCTTAGTCACAAATTTTCCCTATTTTAACTACTTGATTTTAGGTTTTAAATGGGACCCATTGCCTATCCATTAACCCATTAAAAACTTGTCTAAAGGCTGCACACTCAAAAAGTGATCAAGTCACTCGAACTGAAGAAATCTCTTATTTCTTTTACCTGAAGCCGACTCTGATTTTTTTGTCAAAAACTTTTTGAAATATAGTCGAATTTATCAAAAAAATGGCTTGGTTTTTGAGAAATCACCGTGCAAACTTTTTCTACGAACTTTCTTTCCAATCTAATAGATATAGGTTGAATGAAAGTTAGAGCCAAGATTACAGTAGCTTTCGAAAATTGACACTTTTTAGGAAACGCATTATCTAGAAAAGCAAGCACACTTATCCATGTAAATAATTTGAATTTATTCATCAAGCGATAATTTTGAGCTTTCAAAAGCACGAATTCTTTTAACGGCAACGGAAACATCAAAGTGATAAAAATGGGGAATGAAAGTGCTGAATTTGGTCTGCAATAGGGTTCCAAAGCTAATTTATTTATCAAAACTTTTTCTCCGATTTAAATCTCGCGATTTGGTCGCTTCTCAATCCATTTCTTGATCGCTGGCAACGAGTGAACTTTCTCCAAATGAGCTTTTGCCTGTAAATTTTAGAAATTGTAGTTAATTCTAAACGAAACTAACTCTAAACTCGGCACTAAACTCCAAAAATGACTGAATTTATCTCGCCTCAGGGTAATCCTTGAGATAATCGGGATTGTAGCGAACGAAAGTCTCCGAATGATCGGCCACTAAAAGGTCCACCCACGAGGGTTTGTCCCCAATCTGAAAATTTACATTGAAATCATTTCAATAGGAATAAAGATTTTTTGGAGAATTTCCAAAACCTACAATGAATCCCGATTTGCTTTCGCGCAAGAACTTGCAAATTGGTGGGTAAAACGCGTCTCTCGCCGGCACGACCGAGTTTTTATAGGCATCCTCCTGGAATTGTAAAGGAGAAAATGAGATTTATTCAGATTCCGATTGATTTCCTATTTCCAAAACCATTACCAATGTCAAATTGTTCAATTTGAGCCAACCCAAATAGAAAGCTCTGCAAGCGTTGAAGAGATCCTCGTAGTGAGTGCCCACCGAGTCAATCAACGCCGCCTCCCAGGCGTTTGAGCCGTTGAAACCTGTAAAGCACTTTTGCAAGCACTATCAGCCTTCATAAAGTACGACACTTATACCGTAATACCCACCGTGCTCAGCCGCAATGTACTTGGCGATCGCGTTCGCCTGTGCGAGTTGTTTCCCGTCGAATTCCAACACCGGCACTCGCTCATAGGTCATCTCTGAATTTCGTTGTTCTTGATTGGCATAGATCTTTTGATTATCAGCAAATTTTCAATCCTTTACTTTTCTTCAATTCTGGCCACTCATCCGATCCGGCGGGAATGCGATTGTCCTCAAAATCGACTCCAGCCAAGGTAAAGAGTTGACGAATGAATTCGGCTGAAAAGAATTATGAACATGTGCAAAATCTGCGTATACGATCTTTTTACATTTTTGCTTTAAGTGAAGAATTTTAAAGTTCATTCTTTTCGCCTGAATACTTTTATTTTGACATACTGTAACTATACTGTAATGAGACAGTTTTTGAGAGTAATGTTTCAGTACTACTTAATGCAAAATGTAACAGGATATTGAGATTTTACATTTTATTTAACCACCGAGCTTCAGTAGAAAAAAATTCGCAAACCTTTTGCTCGCACGTCGAAATAGGTAAGTTTGTAGTGGGTCATTTTCGATAGGAATAAAACGATGATCGAATCTGAAAAGGCTATTTGTTGGAACTTAAGCTGACGAATAAAAGAAAGAAGAAACGAATCAGTTTTAAATAGCTGCTCCAGAAAAGCGAATTCTTAAGGCAAACCCCGTACTCGCTAAACAAAACAAAGCACATTTCAATCAGAAATAGTTCAGATAGTTTTAATCTTTCGCCGAAATTGTGCCCATTTCAAGGGCACAATTCCCATTTAAAGTCATCACAAAAAGCAAGAGAAAAGTGCTGACAAAGTGGTTTTTGGTATGTGTGCAGAGACACACTGTGTTTTTTTTCTCGTTGAGTGTGTGATCGTTCTTTGTGATTGATTGAATGAAAGAGATGGGACTTGAGAGAAGAAATAGGTGAAAGACCAATGAATGAGAGAAAAACAAGTAATCTGGGGAATCGGTGATCTTTATCTTTATCTATTCCACCCATCAACTACAATGTCCAAGACGATCTACTACAAATTCTCAACTTTCCTAATTTGCACAAACCAAAAAGCATCAAAGCGAAACTATATTTTCTCTCAACTCCAGGCTTTTTCTGCCTTTAACATTTGTAGAATAATTTATTTGTTAACTTCTCTAACAAATAACAACCTAAAATTAAGTAACAAGAAATGGCACAAGGTTATTTAAAGAACAGAACGGATTAGAAATATTAGTTGGAACAAAAATTATAAAAAATAAACACACAAAAAACTTAAATCCAAAATAATCACAAACTTTCACTCAAAGTTAGACATCGCTTGGTGGAAAAAGACCGACGTTTGTGCTGGGACGGCGGCCTCGCAAAGCTGTGTGATTCCTGTGATAACGGGTGGCTCGTTGGAATTTCTTGATACCTAAACAAAGGTTTTCAATAACAGTTCGTTAATAGTTGATTCAGTTATTCAAAGCAAGACAAAGACTTGCCTCTAACATAAAAACGATGTCAAGTCGGGTAAATGCCTTCATCACATCAAGTGCCCTCTGTTTACATCGGTTCAGCTCGGCTTCGTTTAAACGTCGATCCATTGAAAGCATCTGTATAAGTTATTTTTTCCTCTAAATATCCAAAATTACCTTGCAATATGAAACGTCAAATCCAAGCATATTGATCAGAAGTTCTTGTGAGGCCACGCACATAACACCTGCTGCACTCTCGTCAGTTAACAAGACCTAAAATGAGTAACAGTAACGGGACAGTCGCCAGAACGAACCTTAAGACACCATCGATCCGCACCAGCCCTCAGATCATCTAACAGCTTGCTACACAAAGGCTGAAACGACTCAATTCTCTGAAAATAAAACAAGAAAACTAACAACAACAGTGACTCGTTTGCTTAACATCCAAAAGCGTCGTTGTCGTAACAGATCAACAAGCAATGATCGATTTTCATAAATCTCCATAGTTTTCTAAAAAAACTTTAGATAGCTCAAATGCGAAAAGTTACATATTGTAAAGCGGCGCCAAGATCGAGTTGATGAGACACTCTTGGCTGTGAAACACTTTCACGGACGGCTTCATTCAAAGTTTTCTTTGACTGACCAGCAAATGAATGCTAAATATCTAGATAGATGCTTTAGGAATTGAGTGATCCAAACCAGATTTGGCACATTTGAATTGACATTGTGATGATGTTCCTGATTTCCTTGAGCGTTTGGTGGTACCGGAAACGTATGGGTCAAACTTCCGCCACTTGCAGATAGAGCGCTGAGCGAGCGATTCAAACGAGGTGATTTCTCGGGTGAAATCAATTGTACTTTTTTGATCCTGAAATGGTGGTCTAATAAGTTCAAAAATTGAAGTTATACTTTCTCTCTGGAGCAAGAGCATCATGTGGCGGTGGTGCGCCGCTGGTAGGTGTCGATGTTACAAACTGTTTACCCCTTCCCATTATTCCAACTTCCTAAAAGAGTGTAAGCAAAACACTTTTAAAACGCAAACATTTGCCGATGCAGGGTTTTTCTTCGGCGCCGTCAATTGTTTTGACCCTGTGTGACTTTTCAATATTGATGTAGAAGCCTAAACGAGATTTGATAAACTTTAAAAAGATTTAATACCGTCGTTTGATCGTGTTTCCGAAAAACAGGAAAAGGTGATGTCGACGCATCTGGAGAATAACAGTAGACCAAATTTAAACTTTCATACTAACCGCGTTTCTCCACAAATCGATGATGAACCACTGGATATTGTTTGGTTAAAAGTGGTGTTGTTCCTACGCATGAGTCTAAAACTTTTAAGTTTGTTAAAGCCGCCGAAACTCGACCTTTAAAGCTTGCGCGAAGTGAACGCGAATGAACAACATCGTCGCCAACTGATTTTTCTAAAATTTCAATTGTCTAGTCCCTACATTTTAAAAGCCACCTGCCCGTTGATGCAATTCATTTATGTTTGGGGGTTCTGGGATAAAAGGCGATACACCGCTTTTCCCTCGCACAGCTGGAGTATGAAAAGATACTTCGGTCGTTGAATGAGCTTCAGTTTCAACCAGGTTCTTTTCGTCAGCCTAAAAATTCAAACCATACTACATTTACGGCTTGAAATTTATCCGCAGCACACTCGATTTTTTAAAAATGATAGGTTTTTATCTTAAAAATCGTACCACTTTCTTAGATTTAGCCATACTTTTGGCCAAAGTCGCATAAAGAGATCGCCGCGTTGTCGGTATTACATTTCTGGTCGTTGCTTTTGTATTTCTTTCATCCGTTTCTTCAATTTTTGGCACCATATCATCCCCGGCTGACGTCACGCTATGCCGATGGTACATTGGACGCTCTCCCTAAAACAAAGCAAGTTTTTAAAGTACAATCAATTGTACTTTAAAAAGGGGAGTCTTACCAAAATGCTCAAGTACTCAGTGATTGCTCGGGTTCCTTTTGCGGCTTTTCTAAACTTAATTTTTAAACAAAAACAGTCAAGAACCAACTCTAGTTCTTTACTCGATCGCTTAGTAACATTTCGTGTCGAGAGCAAAGCAATCTAAATCTGATAAATCATAATTTTGCTAAAACCGACCTCTCTTGATGTGTCTAAAAGGCCAGATGTGTCCATCCTTGATGACGTGTTCAATGAACGAGAAGGGTTGTCTGCTAATGCCATTAATGGAACAATTGCTGTTTGTGAGTCTTCTTTTGGCTGATTAACGGGTAGAACCTTTGATTCACTGCGTTTTGCAAGCTAAACACAAAGTAGTTTAAAGACTTTATTTGAAATTGTACCCAGGATTCAGATGTGTCCATCCTTGATGACGTGTTCAATGAACGAGAAGGGTTGTCTGCTAATGCCATTAATGGAACAATTGCTGTTTGTGAGTCTTCTTTTGGCTGATTAACGGATAAAACCTTTGTTTCACTGGGTTTTGCAAGCTAAACACAAAGTAGTTTAAAGGCTTGATTTGAAATTGTACCCAAGATTCAGCCCGTTTGACATTTTGGGGCAGCCTATTTACTGGCAAGGGCTGTTGATCTTTTCTGCTTTGGTCAACGAAAGTCTAAAAGATTCCATAAAAAAATAAGAGATTGCAATTCGACCATAGTTTCTCTTGTGTAATTTCTTTCCGAAGCATTCTTGGAATCCACTTCTGGTGGTGCTATCGTGTTTACTGTCTTTGTCTCGATCATGCTCGGTTTTATCTAAATTATTCTTTCTAGCATACCCCCAAGATATTTACCGCATTGAGTCGCTTGTCTTCAACTATAGATCTTTCAGATCTAAAATAAGTAGTCATCAAAAATTTCCACCGGGCTTACCTGGAAATAGACTCATTTACTTGAAGTTGATTTGAATATTTAGCATCTGCTTCCTCGTGTTGAAGTTTAGCAACTTTACTGAAAGTATTAACACAACGTTACAAAGTTTGAATAAAACATACGCTTGAGGATTGGATGCTGGAGGCAGTATCGGAACACGAAATACATTGGTGTCATCAAACTAAAAGTAATCTATCTTTTGTGGAAATCAAAAAACAAACCACTTTGTTCAGACTTTTCCTAGACAGAATTGGCGTACACGGAATTGTATCGAGTGATCTAAATTTGATAGTTAAAATTTTTTTAAACAAATCAAAACACTTTTCAACAGCTTCAATTTAGCCTTTAGTTTAAAAATTACTTGTTAAGATCTTCATCAATTGAGTGCAGCGGATCGTTCTTCACCGAAGTAGTTGCCGTATGCAAAGTTGTGTTGGTTGAATTAAGTTTCGAGTCTCCAACTTCATCTATACAAATAAATTTTTCTTTACGTAGATATTATAATACCAAGTTCACTTTGAGCGTCGGCATTCTTTGGCTTTAAAAACGGTGAAATAGTCAAACTAAAAACCAATATAAATACTTTTTAAGCTCTTTTCTGACTTTCCATCCTCAGTCGTGCGTTTCTTGGGTTGTTTGCGAGCACTACTAAAGCTAGATGTTTACCGATACAATAAATAAGTGTACTTCTTGATTTCAAGCTTTTCTTCAAGGAATACCAAGCGATCTTTGTAAAGCTGAGCGCATTCCCCACCCAGGACCTAAAATCTTTCATTTGCTCAATCATAGTAGAAAAAAACCTGGCAATTATCTTGATTAAGAAACATTACACCATGTCGACATCGCACCCGGCATCTCGTCAGTAACTAAATTCTATACAATAACCCAAAACTTTGAATACAGAACTCGTGAAGAATTAAATCGGTAGGTTAAAAGCAACCTTAGTTCCGGGCGGTGTTCTTTCATCGATCGAAATGTTCCCTCCATATATAATCGCAGCCAGATTCACTGCGCCGTCTGAGAGCTCAATACGCAACATTCGATTCGGTTTACTCAAAGGCTCGGTCTTCTCAAGTTACAGTTTTGCGTGTAATCACAAAAGAACTACCTCGTTTGTTGTTTCGTTATTTTCTTCACAAGTGAACCATGATAAATCCTCCTTTTTGTTCGTGAGCTCTCTATATTGTTCGTACAACGAGCGCGAAATATCCAAAACCATTATCACCTAAAAAGAAATAATTCAGTTAAGCTTTCAAAAGTTACTTGAAATAGGTGTTGCTTGGGAAGAATGATTTGTTTAGCGAAAGTTGGTATCTTGACTGGAGGATCACAGCTGTCGGAGAGATTCGAGAAGAGCACTTGTTTCAAGATGGCAATCTGTAGTTGCTTCTCGTTGATACTCGGCTGGCTGATACTCGTCCATTCGATTGCTGCTCTCAACCATTCGCCCTAAAAAAAGAACTTCAGAACAAGAAGAACAAGTCACTAAACTTCACATAATTTGTAAACTGTAAAAACTCACTTTGACATTTATATGGTGTTTTTGTAGCCACAATCGGACAAGCTTCTCACTCATTCAAAAAGCGAACGACTCCTAAACAAAGCCATTAATAAAAGTTCTACAAAGAGGTGGTGTTGAAAAGTGAAGAAAGTAACCCTGCTGGACGTTAAATAAAGATGAAAAAGTGCTCTAATGATGAATTCAGCAATTTGGGGGAATCGAGAGATAAACCAAATGAAAAAGAAAAAAAAAGCTTATTTTAGCATTTAAGTAATCAATTCGTTAACTGAATATTATAAAAACTGTCTAGATTTTGTTGGCATCAGAATTTAATTTGCACTTATGGTTGCTACAAAAATTTCAGAAATTTCACCTTACTGTTTTTCATTATTTTACTTTCTTTGCCATTCACGATCGGTCCTTCAATTCACTGCCGCAAAATGTATTTTATGTTTCTGACAGGTTAGCATTTCAAAAGCTATCGTTAAATTTTAAAATTTAGGAACTTTGTCTCGTTTCTTGTCGTTTATTGCATTTGAAGCCGTATCGTCGCTCATCCTTATTGTCCCAATTCTCATCATTTGTAGTGGTAGCAAATCAAAAACGGCATTTTTTAAGTCTATGAAGCGGACTCATTCAAAACTCTAGGTTGCGAACACTACTACGAATAGTAGCACCCAGTCAACTCATCGACTACCGATCGAAGCACCTCCTGCTCTCACTACTAGTGAGGTAGCTTAACATTTGATCTTTTTCATTGTTTTCAAACTTGTCTGAATAAATCAGATTTTGTTAGAATTGTGAGGTCCTGTCTAACTTTTTCTTTTAGCCGTCAACAAATGCGGGAGCCCTCTCCTACAGAGGATCAACAAAAGACCAAAGAATAATTGGAGATTGGAACAATAGAATTATATTTTTTTACCCTTGACTTGTGTTTGATGATTCATTAAAGGTTTTGCACTCACAAGGGAAGGATGATTGGGTCCCGTGACCTTTTCCGATGGTATATAGACCATTGGACGCAAAATTTTACGCTGATTCCAATGATGTAAAAATTAACTGCGGAATGACGCGTAATCACCGCCAAACTGGCTTTAGGGTTTAGAGCCTCTCCTTTTAACTCGATTTTTTTCAAAACAAACCTTTCATCCGTGGCCGAGTGGTTGAGTGCTTGTGCAGCAAGCTGAGGGTCAAGAGTTCGAACCCGACCCGTCGCATTTTTTTTTTGCTTTTTTTCCATTCTATGTTCTTTTGTGTTCTTTGTGGGTCCACATAAACGCTTTTCTTCTGTTCGATTGTAATTTGTCATTCTTGTTAAATATTTAATAGCTTGTCAATATATGGTCGACGAAATTTGGCGCGAGATTTTTGACTCGTAGATGATGCCGGGTTTATCAAAACCTATAGAACTTATATCCAAAAATGTAGCAAATTTTGTGTAGTTTCTGACATTTATAACTATTTTACAAGAGGTCTCCTAGTTTTTGAGTTATGCCCTTTTCTGCTCCCTTCAGAAAAGGCCTCATTGACATTGACAAGGAGAGGCTCAAAACCTTTATGCCAGTTTGGCGGTGATTACGCGTTATTCCGCGGTTAATTTTTACATCATTGGAATCAGGGTAAAATTTTGCGTCGAATGGTCTATATATCATCGGAAAAGACCACGGGACCCAATCGTCCTTCCCTTTTCAGTATTTCGTCAATCGGCCAAAAATGAATTTGGCGTTCATGAATTAAATTTGCATGTCTCAATTTACATTGATTAATGTGACCATGTGGAATGTTAAAAATAAGCATTCTTTATTTTTATTTCAAACGTGAGCTCGTTCCATGTTGTTGAGATGAAAGGAGGTCAAACCGAGAAGAAATTAAATATCGAGCAAGAGGACAATCCATTTCTTCGAAGCGATGTAAGCATCTCCAAGTGAGTTTTACCTTTTTCTTTTTTTGGCGAGTATGTTGGAAGGAACTATTTATCAAATTTTGAATAAGAATCTGGGTTTTTGATCTGACTTACGGACTTTTAGATGACATTTCCTTTAGATTCACACGAAAACCTGGTGTATCAGGTGGCGCATCACAATCCAAGCCGAAATCTGTTAAACTTCAAAGGTTTGATGTTCAATTGTTGCATAACGAGGACTTTATTTTTATTTTAGCAAGATATCATTATTGCAAAAAGATGGTAAAAATGAAATAAAATTGGATCGAACGCCGCCTTCGTCCAGGAAAGCTCCAACCTCACCGACTCAGGTTTGCACTTTAAAATTATGATTATATATATATTTGTATTACTTTTAGAGATCCCAGTCACTGCAAGTCAATCGAGGTACTTTCATTAATGTAAAAACTATCTTCACTTCACCTTTTTTTAGTTGGCTATCAGAGATCGCAATTGAGTCCTCAGCCATCAAAACGTCAAAGAACGTCACAACGAATCGTTACATCACAATCTCTAGCAAAGGTAGTTCTTCTAAATGCCTAGCTTCATTAATTATTAAATTTTAGGAAGAAAGCCGGTTATGGAATCCATTAGTAACAGGGGAAACTTCAAGACGTGTCATCACTCGGATCTCGAAAAATAAACGCCAAATAGGTAAACATTAGCTATTACTTGTGGTTGTTATAGCTTTTTCTTTTAGAAAGTGACTGGAAGGAGTCTTCTCGTTTACAACTACGGCGGCAGAAAGAGGATCAACGACGGCAAAAAGAATTCATTGATGACTTTCGAAAGTATTTGGAAACTAACAAGTAAGTGTTTGTTTTAGAATTACTCAATTGTTTTTCTAGATCCAACAAAGTGGTGCTTTATTGTACATGTCCCGAGAAAAAAGCTGACAGATTTCGGGTGAGGTTTTACCTATGTACATTGTCGACTCCTTCGAATTCTGTTCGAATTCTGTGCGAATTGAGAGCACAGAAAGCTAAAAAGAAGTAAATAAAGTGATTGCACTGATTGGCTTCTTTACAGCGCTTTCTCAAGTCGATAGATCGTTTCTTCAAAAAGGCCGGTCGTTTCACATGGATTGCTTGTTGTCCACCATTACCTTCATATCAAGTCAACAAGGTTTGTTTGTAAATTTTGTTTCCCATACTACAATGAGTGTTTAGGCTGCTTTCTGGCCACCGGAACGCTTTTACATCTTTTTTCGTGATCCAATGCAGCCCGGTTTGGTCGATCCGTTGAAAGCTGAAATGATAATTCGAAAAGCAAACAAGTAAAAGTCTTTACAATACGTTTAAAAAAATAATTGTTTTTGTTTCTAGAAACTGTCTTGGAAATAAGTATCGCATAGCTCCCGATCATGCTTGTTGCAAGGAAAAATTGAACGTCGAGGGGTTCATCGTGGAGACAGTATACGAAAATGTGTGGAGTTTTTTGATCTTACTTAAAATTTTATCGAGAGAAATTATCTGAGGATAACAACATTTTATTTAGCATCTTGGTTGTGCAATGGTCCACATGCATTCATCAGCATCTAGTCGCTGTCCACTCACCATTTTGTATGCTCATTCGAACGGGGAGGATTTGTACGATATTCTCTACTCGGCTCCCGATCTTCTTGATATGGCAGCGTATGGTTTTTTTAAAAATTCTTTGCTTATCTATAAATTTAGATATTTTGAATGCGATGTGGTGACGTTTGATTACAGCGGTTATGGGATCAGCTCTGGCCGAGCAGACGAAGATCATTTATACACGGATGTGGAGGCTGTGTACCTGGTAACTGTTTGAGATTTATAAAAGTTGCTTGCTAAGTGGTAGATAATTGAACTAATCCGCTTTTTTGCCCCATTCATATCTTCTTTCTTTAGCATGTAATCGAGAAGCTGAAAGTGCCGTCGGATCGAATAATTCTCCTTGGCTACAGTATTGGCACTGCAGCGATCGTACATTTGGCAAGAAAATGTGGAGAAAAATATCCGCCAGCGGGTTGGTTTTTGTTGTTTAATGATTACAAAAGCTTAATGTTTTCTTTTTTTCAGGTGTCGTGTTGCTAGCGCCAATGTGTACGGTATTCAGTGTTGTGTGTGGATGTTGCTCTCCGAAATGTGAGCACGCAATCCGCGCCGACCGATACAACAATTTCGCCAAGGTTTGGATAAGCATTTGCAAAACAAAGCAATGCAATTCTATCGTTGACCTTTAGATTTCGTCAATAACTGCTCCAGTGTTGATCATTCATGGTGAGAAAGACACCGTCGTTCCCGTTGGACACGGCAGAAAGCTTCATCGAAAGATTGCTGAAAATGTGGGTATCTTTATACGCTTTTTCTTAAGTCTTTGATAATTTGCTTGTTATTTATAGAGTCAACGTCCAGGAGTGGAGCCGTTGTGGATTCCCGATGGAAAGCATAATCAACTAACCAATCACTTTCCACTCTGGGAGCGAGTCAAAATATTTCTCAAAAGGTTGACTGTCATTTTTGTTTTTACTATAAAATCTAATGCTTATCCGCTCATTCCTTTACAGTAACAAATTTTAAGTTAGTGATTTTTAGGGAGATCATCCAACCGAAATCAAGAATCACTCCGAAAACCTCATTGACACAGCCATTGTCTTCTGTGAAGACCGAACAAACGAAACCACGTTGATCGACGAGTCAATTAAACTTTAATATTATGAAAAACGTATTGATTAAATCAAAATCGAAAGAAGCTGAGCTCTGAATTCCCCATTGAATTTGTGATTGATACGAAATGTTTGAATCAAGAATTTTGCTTGCTTGACTGATTAAGATATGGTTCATTTTTAAAAAGATTTTATTTCGGTGAATTTGTAATTCAATCTTTGTGATTCCCATCCATTCCTTGGGGAATTTCTCTCAGATTTCATTTGTCTTTCTCACTCAACCGCCCACACTTTTAAAGAACACGATATAAAAATTAGCAAATAGCAAATCTTTAGAAATCTTACGTTAAAACATGTTCTTCTTGAATCTTGAACCTGATCTAAAAACTGGAAAACAATTATACCAAATTTGTTGTGCCTTACATATTTTGGACATGCTGTGCTTACCGAAAACTCAATTATTCCCGGAAATCATCAAAACAAACACGTTTGTGTGAAAATTTGCCCTCGAAATCCCAATTCCACCGAATCACTGGATTAATTCGTTTCGCAGACACAAAATTTTACGAACTACCAAGTGAAATCCCTCTCAATTAAAGGCTTCTCTCCCAGTAACTTAATCTTTTTTTTTTGTCTGACAAATTTGAGCCTACGAAATGAAATCCCTAAAGAAGTAGATGAAAACAAAAAGTGTACGAGGGAAATGTATCTGGGGATCTTTGTGTGTTTTCGTATCATTTGGACACTAAAATTGGTTCAATTTCGGGATTCACTGTATACTTTTCGAGTGTACCAAGAGAAAATTCGCTCTTACTTGACTAAAGGCAGATCCGTTTGCCGTCGTTGGCAATCTACCTATTTTGCTTGTATCTTAGCCGAGTTTGTTTGAAAAACGTTGAATTTTCTTTCATTCGACTCGAAATCAAATTTTCTATCGAATGAAAGCAAATTCAACGTTTTCTAAACAAACCCGGTCAAGATACGAGCAAAATGCGTAGAAATACCAACAGCAAATGGCCTGAAAAAGGGCACGGAGTTAATATGGATGAAATTGAACTAAAGAAGAACTAAAGAGTTGAACAAGAAATATTCGTTGGTAAGTCTAGGTAATAAACTTTGAACTTTTCACTGCTGTTTTCCCATCGAACAAACTGCTCCGAAAACTGTTTGCTAAAATGCAGAAACCCGTCTGTTACAGTTATGATTTTGTAGTAATACCCATTTCTGACAAGTTATCCACAGTAAAATTAATTCCCAAATGCAAATTCGATTCAAAATGCAATATCAATATATTCAAATCTCTAAGTATGCCCATTGAAGGTCGGTAATTCATAAAAACTCAAACTTTTTCGTTTCACTATACCATTATGTGTGCTGGATAAATATTGAACTCAACGGCAAAACTCATTTTCTTTCCTTTTTACTTCCTAGTCGTGAACCTCGCCTCCCATTCTATAATAGCTTCTCAAATATAAGAGAATATTTCAAATTTTCTTCCTTTTTTTCCCTCATCCCCGCTAACTTGTCTTTTTCTTTTTCATTATTTTCCTTCCATTGAACTTATAAAATTGAAAAATATTTGACCAGGAACTGAACTGAAACGAGCGTTATTTTCAGATTAAATACATCTTCAACTTTCTTTAAGTTTTATCGTAGATGATCCGACTAATGCTTTTCCTAAAAGATGTCAACTTTAGAAAACTAGTAATCTTGACAGAGATTATAGTTCATTCACAGATAGAGACTACGTCAATTTACAAAGTAACCCTGATAGGATAAAAATTAAGAAATTAGCTTTTTAGAGCTTTTTTAAAAACGCGAAAAAAGGTGCGCTAATGGGCAAGGTGCGGAAAAAAAGGAAAAAGGTGCGCAAATGTCCGGGTGCGCAAAAAAAAGGTCGCATTTGTCCCACTCCCGAAATCTTTTATGCAAACAAAATATGCAATAAATTTCCGGAGATAATTTTGCATTTAAAGTGTTAATCAACAAAATTTGAAACTAGTTTTTTTTTCATTTCTTTGCAAATCCACAAAATTCACCACAATAAAATAGCTTTTTATTTACCAAATCTCTCAAAAAAGATCCTCTCAATTCCCCCAGCTGGGCTCAAAGTTATCCAAATTTCCAAATCACGTAAATATTTTGAAGGAAGCACGATAAACTTTTGAAATCTCAAATTGTTTGCATTTCCTTATGCAATGACGTTCTTGTTTACTTTTGTTATCTATTTGCAAAAATATTAAAATCTACGTAGTGGATTTAAATTCAAAATTGAATTCTACGCTTGTTTTTTTTATCGCAATTCACAATTGGATCTCAAATGTCGTCACTGATGATGCTTAATTTAAAAATTTTTTTTGATCATATGTCTATCTCCATTCTCTCTTTTCCATCATGTGCCTAGCTGTAGATCTATTTTTAAAAAATGAACTGACTAATCGCTTTTTGTCTATTCGCTTTTTTTTTCTTTTCTTTTGTCGCACATCTCTATCCTTTTTTGGTGTCTAAACAATGGGAAATTGCCCTCCATCCCCCGCAGCAGTCTATTCGGAGAGGAAATGTGACGCCAGAAACAAAACCATCAAACACCCACAGTCATCTTTACTTCAAATGTTTTCCTTGGATTTTCCAGAACTTATTTGAGTCGTCAAAGCTTACAGCACCTAGCCTACAGCACCTAGCCTACAGCAACTAGTCTACAGCAACTAGTCTACAGCACCTAGCCTACAGCACTTAGCCTACAGCAACTAGTCTACAGCAACTAGTCTAGCAGCACTGCTCCTCCAAGCCAGTCAAGTAAACTCAAAGATTAGCCATTATAGGCACAATCTGGTAATTGATTGGTCTACAAAATTTTCATGGACAAGACCAGGCCACAAGCTATGAGCTATCATTCCTCTTTATACTAGACTAGTTGCTGTAGGCTAGGTGCTGTAAGCTTCTTTTATAAGCGACTCTGTCTGTGTGACCCTCTGTCCAGGCCGTATCTCGTCAATGGTTGCTCAAATCGGGCTGAAAGCTTGACATCAAAAAGGTCAATTTTCTAAATCTGACTGTTGTTTTTGATCTGTTCAGCCGTTTTTCTTAAAAATGCAAATTGCGACTTTTTGTGGTACTTTCTCTTTGAGACCCTGTATCTCAATTCGCCAATTTTTTATACTTAAAAAAGTTTCCATCATATTCAAATTGTTATTTAATATATTAGGGGATTAACAAGCAGCCGCACAACCGGTTATATTGACTTCAAATTGCATACAAATTGCATAATTGCACAAGCTTTTCGTTTGCATTTAAAGTGTTGCTTTGAAAACAAATTGTTGTTTACTGCCAGTTTAGTTTAGTGTTATCATGTAACGGAAAGCCGAACTATCTGGAAATTTTATTTGAGACTTACAACTAAGACGTTTACCCAAAAAGATGCCTTTTGAAAACTACCGTAATCCGTTCTAGGTAAAACCTGTAGGGAGTGGGACAAATGCGACCTTTTTTTTTGCGCACCCGGACATTCGCGCACCTTTTTTTCCGCACTTTGCCCATTAGCGCACCTTTTTTTTCGCGTTTTTCTCCCACTCCCATACCTGTACAAATGGGATAAAAACTCGAGACAAGATTACAATATTTACGATCACTTTTCTGGATTTTTGTTTTTTCTCTGAGATATTTCTGTTCTTTCAAAAACAAACCCATTTTCACGAGACGATTTGATTATATTTTTATTGTTTATTGTCAATTTTCTCGAAAAACAAAAACAGGCAAGGTGAAAATTGAAAAAAAAATAAAATTTTTAGATTTTTTATATTTTTAAGTCACTGATTCTTAGTAATTTTTTTCCAAAATATAATGAATGCCGTCAATGATCTTTTCTTCAAAAAAATCTCCCGATTTCCCTTGAGGGAAATCGAGAATTTTTCGAAAAATTAAAGAACAATTTGAAATTTCAAACTTTTATTCTTATTCTTTTTTTCATTAGCCGGCCAGATTTCATTGGCCAGATGGCCGACCGGTTAGGAGCGGAAGGTCGAGGGTTCAATCACTCTGGCAAGATAAAAATGTTTCTTTTTCCCACCAAGTGGGTTTTTTCTTTCACAACATTTGGGTAATAGGGGTAAATAGGGGTGAGAACGGCCGCAGTGCCATAAAATTGTGTGTTTAACCTTTATGTCTTATTATGTACCCTTTGTTTGTATCACATTATTGGTTTTCAATAAATGTATTTTTTTTTTTAGTCAGAAAATTTTGATGCGAATTGCGTTTCGAATGCAAATTTTATTACGTTTTCCCCTGGGTGATTTAGAAAAAAAAAAAAGTTTTTCTTTTTTTCAAAAAAGAATAACTTTTGAACCTGACATTTTTTCTGTGATATTTAAAATTCACTAAACCTTTTGACGAGGTTTCAATCGAAATTTGCCACCTGTTTTTCTTTTTCCAAAAATATCCCTGTCTGATTCGTTCCATTTTTAATCAAGGAAATGAATCTCTGAATCGGATTCTTGAAATTTTTAACACATTCACGCGACATGATACACGAATGTACCATTTGTAAATACTGTAATAGTACCCCACCACCCACGTAAAGTCGCGTAGTCGCAAAAGGTTTTTAGTATTTCATTTTTTTCAAAGCGCCCTTACTTCCAAAAATGCATCTTTGGTATCAAAAATAGCCCTGAATTTCAGCTATTTTTTGATACCTAAACGCGCATTGTAGCATAAACCAGTGTCGAGAAAAATGCATTCAAAGCTAGACTACGCAACACTCCGCGCCGTCATTATGGGGGTTGGGGTATCGTTACGGTTGGTGTCTTTTTTTTATTTTTATGTCTAACCGCTTTTTTTGCTCCAAAAAACTTGAATCCGGGGTTTTCGGGTACGGGAAATCCGAATCTGACTTAAATTTTTGTCTACAATAACTTCTAAGGCCGGAAATAGTAGTGCTTCGTACGTAATGAGAAAATTGAATCCTTCAAATAACAAATATTCTAACAAATAGGCATTCAATCAGTTTCACATTTCACATTTCACATTAAAGCCAAGACTCCTTTTCTGCAAAAAAATAGGTTTATAACACAAAAAAAGTAACGTATTGACAAACGTATTAATTGTTAAAAACTCAAACTCGAATTATTGACCTTTCAATAGAAAAATCTCTACTGGAGCTTTTGAATTCATTTTATTATCAAAATATTAATTATCATTTCTAGATAAAATAACTAAAAAGCGATTGAAAAAAAAATTAAATTTAAAGAAAGTTATTGAAAAAAAATTGATTTTCACTAAAGAAGAGTTAGTTTTTATTTACGAAATGGTAATTATGACACCAAATAACCCTTTAACACATTCGCAACAAAGCCATTTTTGGCTTGACTCTTTCTGACGGTGACAAACTAGGTTAGCCCAGAAAGCCCGGAATTTGTTTAATTGGGTAATTTAAAAAACCTTTTTTTGGTGAAATTTATTTACGAAATGGCAATTATGACACCAAATAACCCTAGAACAGAAAACACTGAACTGTCTTTGTAGTTATGAATCTAAAAAGGTTTTTTTTACACTAAAGAACGCAATTACAGCTTTTCAGCTAAATAAAGTGCATAAAGTAATGAAAAATCTGGGATTAGCTCCCTTGAAAACCCAATTAAACAAATTCCGGGCTTTCTGGGCTAACATAGTTCGTCACCGTTAGAAAGAGTCAAGCCAAAAATGGCTTCGTTGCGAATGTGTTAAAAAAAGAAATGGAGATTTTATTATTGATGAATTTTTCTCAATTCTTTTTGTTGAACAGAAGGGAAAAATCATTCATTCCGATATTTGCGGGGGAGAATGAATCATTCAGAAATTGAAGAGGGGAATTCACTCAAAAAAGAATACCCGAGGTGAACATTGAAGGGAAACATTCGGAATCTTTGATCATATTCTCATTTTGTTGAAACTTCGAACTTTAAGCGCCACAGTTTAGTAAAAGACGATACGTCGGTAAAAAAGACAGTCCGTCGTTGTTAGTATTGTGATGTACAGTCGGTGCTCTCACTTTGCGGCCATTTTTCTTGTACTAAACAACAGTTTTTCTAAAAGTTTTTTTATACCATCGTGTAGCCCAATTGAAGGGCTACATTTTGATGCCAGACTTGCACAAAGCTAAAGCTCTGGTAAATGGCAATTCCATTTAGCACAATCTTGGAATACTAGAGATGCAATCGGGAAACTTTTCGTACAGAAATCTTTGTTGTACAGAAAACGGATTTCTAGATCGGACGGGTTCCTAGATCGGACGAGTTCCTAGATCGGACGGATTTCTGGATCGGACGGGTTCCTAGATCGGACCAGTTCCTAGATCGGACGAGTTCCTAGATCGGACGGATTTCTGGATCGGACGGGTTCCTAGATCGGACCAGTTCCTAGATCGGACGAGTTCCTAGATCGGACGGATTTCTGGATCGGACGGGTTCCTAGATCGGACGGGTTCCTAGATCGGACCAGTTCCTAGATCGGACGGATTTCTGGATCGGACGGGTTCCTAGATCGGACCAGTTCCTAGATCGGACGGATTTCTGGATCGGACGGATTTCTGGATCGGACGGGTTCCTAGATCGGACCAGTTCCTAGATCGGACCAGTTCCTAGATCGGACGGATTTCTGGATCGGACGGGTTCCTAGATCGGACCAGTTCCTAGATCGGACGAGTTCCTAGATCGGACGCATTTCTAGATCGGACGGATTTCTAGATTCTAAAGCTGGTGCGGCATAAGTATGGTTACAGACTCAGAACCGTGTATCGCCTTGAAATATGAACGGATTCATGTTAACTTTATTTAAAATTAACAACAGTAATCATATTGGTTTAAATTTTCAGCAGTTTGGCAATATCCAAAGTTGATCGTCCTTGTGCTCCAAGCTGAAGAATAGCGGCACGGTTGGGAGAAGCCTTCACCATTATGTCCAAATTTTAAAATTTGTTTAAAAACTGCTACATAATATAAAAAAGCATTCAAATTAAGAAAAAATAATCCTTTGGTAAGAAATAAAAATCAATCAGTTTCTTAAATCAACGTTACAACCTTGTAGCCATACTTATGCCGCACCCTGTAAACTGGAGTACAGTCGAATTTCGATACAACGAGACGTTCGATATAGCGAACTGTTTGGCCAGTCCCTTGAGATTCGTTATATTGAAGTTCGATTGTACCTAGATTCTGATCTCTTACATCCTTGTTCATTTCCGAAACCATTCCCTCTGTTCTAGTCTTTAGTCCAAACCATTCATCAAACTACTCAATGATCTTTCAATGGCAACCTTTGCCTTTTTCTCTCCCCCTTAGGATAATCTTTCTCTTGATAATCGACGAGAGAATTTTTCAAAATGTTAGGCCACGTGGGGATTAAAAATTGCGTAATTTTTTGGAGGGAAAATGACGTTTTTCTCCATCTCTTTTGATCATTTTTCGATGGGGTTAAACTGAGGATGAAGAGGCGGGGGAAATGGAGAGAAAGGGGGAAAAGGATGGGGAGGTGCCACTCATTTTGAAGATTTCGTTTTGTTGTTCAGCATTTCATATATTTCAACATTTTAAAATACATTTCCTCATAACACGCCTATTGTTGCCAATTGTTGAACTGAAAACGATTTTCTCGAGTCGGGTTCAGTTACCCAAGTCAACCGAATGGCTTTTTTGGGTCCTTTAAACTCTCATGTATACTTTCAGCGTTCACTTTTGATCCCTCTATTTTTAGATTTCAATTTCGAGTTGCTATCTCAAAAGTTTTTCTGAAGATCCCAAGATAGTTGGTTTGTTTTGGTAGCTGTTTGGCAAACTTGTTTGGCACGTGAAACTTGTTCAATTTTAGTTTCATCATGTAAATCACATGACGTTAAAGATTAGAACTTCAACTTTAACGTTAAAGATAAGAAAGACAAAAAAATCTTATTTCTCTATCCGAAAAGCTATAAATGGGAGGTGTATTTGAGGATGTTTCCAAGAAAATGAAAAGAGATAGGAGGGGTGAAAAATGAATGAAATGAATGAAAGCCTCTCCTTTCCTCCATGAGACCTTCTTTTTCCTTTCCTTTGCTTGTCCCTTTACCCCATTTAGATGTGTTTCCCTTCACTTCTAAAATGGGAAATTACTCTTTTAATACATCATTTTGCTCTTTAAAGTATGTGTGTGTGATGTTTATTGGTTTATTTTGATGTTTGATGTATAATTCTTAGAAATTCTGACATTTAACCAAACTTTAACAAATCTAACAATTAAATGAACTCAACTCCGATTACCTCACATTTAAACGATTACCGATTACCCCGATTACCTCAAATCCCTATCCATTGTCTACTTACTCATTCTCTCCATTCATCCCAAATCTAATTTTGAATTAGACAATGTTTTGCCCCTTCTTTCATCCTTTCAAATTACGTCAAATACTTGGAATCTGCGAACTTGTCAAAAACACCCCAATCGAACACTTTATTATTCAATTTCTGCCATTTTTTTCTTCTGATTCGATAATTTCTCAAAACACGACTTTATAGAGCTAAGTCTCAAAGAGAAAAAAGAGGAAAATGACGATAAATGTTTGTTGTCTTTTCTTCCCAACTTACCCCTCAAGCCCATTACTCTAAACGGGAATCAGAAAAGAAATAAAAATGAAAGAGATTCCATTCATTCCACGTCGATGCTCATTCCTTTCTTTCAACTCTCTTTTCTGAGTGACGCATACTGGAAAAACAGAAGTGCACAAATGGGAATGAGGCTTATAAAATGACATTATTGCACTCGTTATCAAAGTTATCGATTCTTAAACTGAAAGCATTGAGTCATTGAGTGCTTTACTTATCGTACCCCTTGAGAATCTATTTTTGAATAGAATAGAAAAGAATTCGAACAAATTTTCCTATAAAAACTTTATTTAATATCAGATATTGACGGAAATCAGATCAATTTAATCAAAAAATTTTTGATTTTGACTTTTCTGCAAAATTTTTGCAAAAATCGACTACTCTTTTGGGAATTTCAAAAAAGATTCAAAAAAAAAAACAAAAAAAAGATTTAAAAAACAAAGAAAGACTCAAATAGTGGGTGGAGGGGGGAATTGTTTGAATTGAAAAGAAAAAGATCACAAGGGAATCAGGAGAGATCATCGAGTAAGCGAGAAAGTGAATGCAAAAATTTAGAAAGAAAATTTAGAAAGAAATCTAGAATCTTTTATCTCTTCAGACACTCACAATCAGCATCATTTTTGTTCTTAATTTGGGTTTGTTTAAATTGCTGTCCAGTAAAAAGCACCTGGCAAGATTTGAAAGATTTGAAAGATTTGAAATTTTCTTTTAGTCTAGCTTTTAGTCTAGCATTGGTTAAGTTTTGGTATTTCTTTCTTTGCTCATTCTTTTTTCATCAACAAGAAAATCCAAGCGGAAACGGGACCTTTTACTTTTTCTTTCCAAAAAGTTATTGCTTTTCTTGCTTTTCTTGGTTTTCTCTGCAAAATCACGTCTTTGTAAGTTTTTTTTTATTTCCGAAATTTGTTTACTCAAAAGTGTTGGCTCTATTTGCGAGTTTCAAATTTCAACTCTAAATTTCAACTCTAAATTTCAGCATCCGAAAGATGACGATTCTCCGATTACCAACTCTAATATTATTTTTCGTTTTGTTGACAATTTGTGATGCAATTCCTCTATATCGACGAATATCGAATGAACGAAGAAATGATCCAAAACAGCAATTGTTATTGTGGCCTGAGGTAGGGAAAAGGGGCAATTTCACTCACATAATCAGCACTAGATAGGTTCATTTACAGCTTGAGTACTGTAAATTAGTCATAATAGAAAATCCTGACACCTAATACTCCAATTTTATTACAGTATGTCAGAAAGGAGAATTCTTGACGTAACGCTGGATATTTCTTTGAAGCATTTGAAAGAAAAATATTCAGTTTATAGGGTTAAATTTTTTCATTCAGGAATACTATAGGGTACTGTAATGAGACAGACAGACAGACAGACAGAAAACAGACAGAAAGACAGATAGACAGACAGGCAGAAAGACAGATAGACAGACAGGCAGAAAGACAGGCAGACAGACAGGCAGACAGAAAGACAGGCAGACAGAAAGACAGACAGACTACAGTATCCCAAGAAAGACAGACCGATTGACTTGGGTAAGCAGATATAGTCAATGCTTAAGCGAAAAGCTAAAAAAGCTAAAAAGCTTCTATTTTCAAATCGATTTCAGGATGTCGGATCGATAAAAAATCTTCCGAAACGAATTCGCCGATCCCAGCCACTTGGAGCCGAGATTCTCTATGGAGATGCGGAGGTAAGCTTTTTTTTCTTTAATCATAAGCTTTATTTAGGTTTATTTAGGTAAATATAACACTCTTTAAAGTACTTAACTATTTTATTTTTTAAGTATTAAAGTATATTTGGATCAAAAAGTCATTCAGAATTCCTATTGGGAATCACCGCGGTGGCGACGTTCACAACCCACCGGAGCCGAGAGTCTTTATGATACGGAACAGGTTTTGTTTATGGAAATAATTTTTAAATATTTAGATATTTGAATAAATATTGACTTTATCTACAGTGATTCATTGAGTTTAAATAATTCGGGACAATTTTCAGTCATTACAATGGCCTGTCGCTCGTTTGAGGCGATCGATCCCGTTGGACATTGAGAATTTCTATGGAACAACTCAAGTGAGTTTTTTTTGAGAAGAAGCTATACTCTAAGCTATATGCTAAACTCAGTCTTGGAATTAAATTGCCGTAATTTTCAGGATTCTTTGTTTGATTCATGGCCTATGGCGAGAAATCGGCGAACAATGGATTTCGAGAGTCTTTATGATGAGAATCAGGTGAGGGGAAAAAAAAGCAAAAGTAAAATATACCTTTCTGAGGCACTTTGTTTCTTCTTTACTCTTACAATTGCAAGAATCAAGTGCACTAGAAAGGGTGTGTTTGCATTTTAGTACAAAGTATACACTGACAATGTACTCTGAAAAAAACGCCTTATTTGAGGCACTTGATTCCCATTTTTTCTAGAAACAAAAACAGCAAAATAAAAGGATCGAGTGTGCCAGAAAGGATGTATTTAAATTTTTGAGCTCAAAGTACAAAGTAATAGTTTTCAAATTCCATTTTTAGATGAACGAATACCCAGTTCTGTGGTCATTGTCCCGACGGAGACGATCCCAACCAATTGAAACCGATTATTCGGATGAGTTCAAGATAGATCCAATTGGATCCCCGATTCCCGTCATTTATGTAAATTGAATCAACTTAAGATATAGTATTTATTTTTTTTTTTTGGCATGTTTGTTCACTGAGGAATAGTTTTCAGTTTTTTTTTAAAAAGCCAACATCTTTCTAGTAAACTCTAGTAAAATTCTATTATAAATCATCGATAATCTCTACTGTAATCCAAGTCGAATTTCTATAAAACATACCGCCAGGGTTGTTTCAAAGACTTCTTTCGAACCTGGTTTTATTGTAGGCCCCTGGGTCAGCCGGGACGTCTGGTCTGAATCTAGGCTGGGCCTGATCTGAACCTGGTCTGAGCCTGGCTATGACCTTCACAGACCTGACTTCGTCTGAATTGACTTGACTGGATTTGAACCTGGTCTGGGTCTAACTTTAATCTTACCAGGGTCTGGTTTAGCCTAGGCCCGAGCCTGGCCTAGTTTGGATTCAAACTTGGCTTCACCTGGCCGACTCTGGGCTTTGACTAGGTCTAGCTTTGGCTTGGTCTAGCCTGGGACTGGCTCTGGTCGAATCTGAGCTTGACCTGAGCCTGACCTGCAAGTCCTAGGGTCGGATTGGAATACCCTGTTGCGATATGAAAAAAAAACCCTACCGTACCCCATGCATCGTTCCCGAATACCGAGCCCCAAAATATCTTGCCTTGATTTCTTTTATTTCGATCACTTGCCTATTTTTACAAAAAAAAAACGATACAAATATAGCTTTTCATAGAATTTTTAGACTAAAACCCATTTTTTTTCTGTTCTATTTTCTGTTTCTATTTTTTTTCTGTTCCATTTTTGATCTCCATCCATTCTTTATGTGATCTCGATTCGGATATTTTCTTTCCCTTCATTTTTTTTGATTGAATATCTTTTTGTGATAACAAGACAGAAAAAAAAATGAAAATAAATGAATTACGCTTTATTTTTGCAGAGAAATTTCCCACAAAATAGACTAGAAACCAAGAAGAATACGGTAGAGACGTTTTTTTTTCTGTTCGCATGCAAATTGCAAATTTCATTGTAAATTTTACAGGCATATGCAAATTTCAAATGAATTTTCTGGAAGAAAATTTGTTTGTTTCTTTGTTTTAAGTAGAAAAAGGGGGGAGGGGTGGGACGAATGCGACCTTTTTTTTTGCGCACCTTTTTTTGCTGGAAAAGGCCTTAGGAAAGGTCGTATTTGTCCCACCCCCGAAAAAGGCACTAGAAGAGCTAAGTGACATCAGAAATGAAAAAAAAATCCCATAAATATCAAGCACACTTTTTGTTTTTTTTTAAGCATTACAATTGACTAAAGCTCAATGGAAATAAAGAAAATATAAAGAAATCAATAATTTTAAGATAACTGAAAGAAAAAGGTCATGGCAAAAGGAAAAAAAGGTGCTGGGAGTCGAACAAGGGTCCGCCTGCACTCGCCTGGTGACAGCACGACTAAGCGACTGCGCCAAATAGGAAGGGCGAAGGCCATCCAAGAATTAACGCCTAGTTATCGACAAAGGTGCCTCACTGCTGACGTCGATGTTAAAACGGAAATTCCCACGCATCGACTCGGGGTTAAGATGGCAGATATCCTGAAAGTTGAATGTAACCAGCCATGGCGCGGTCGAAAGCGACCTTGTCTACACCCCACACGGTCCGGGTCCGGGTCCGGGTTCAACTCCCGGGTCTTGCAACCAAGTTCGTTTTTATCTCTAGTTACTTCTGACCTATCTCTTGCAAGATAGTGACTGAAACGGCTATTGTCAAGTTTTATTTGGAGCTTTGAATTCATTTGTTGTAGTTTAGCAAAGAAACCTGTGGCGAAACAACTCGATGTGCTCCTTGTGCAGCAGTTGGTGCTCCATTTTGCGTTTTGTGCCACGGAGAGGAGATTGGGACAGAGATGAAACGTTGCGGCGAGGAGGACTGAAATCAGATTTGCATTTAAAATTTGGAAAACTTCAATGCTAATTTACTTTGTCTTTATTTCAGTTCATTTATCGGGTGAGTTTTCCTCAATACTCTTGGAGAAATAATTCTCTTGGATCAGTCAGCTAATCTTTCAAGTAAAGAACTTTTAAGAACTAATCGTTCAAGTCTTTTTTTTCTTTCAAAATTTCTATTTTGACAAGCTATCCATCATAGTTAGATCCCTTTTTGAAAACTAATTCTCTTTATAGCTGTCTTTCAAAGGTTAATAATCCACTCTTTATAGCTGACTTTCAAAGGTTAACTTTACTCGATCATCAAGCGCCATAAACCTTTATGTTTTGCTCATTCATTCACTTTCAAAGATAACCAGCATTACTAATCCATCTATGTACTCATCCAGTCCCATTCAAGTCAAACCCAATTTCAGCCAAAAGAAAATAGGAAAAAGAGAGACTAAAGCCTTCATTTCCCCGCCTTTCTTTTCCCAATTCTAATCGTAAAAACACTCAAAAGGAATGGACTTTCAAAAAAGAAATATACGATGAAAAAAAAGAGACAAACCAATATACCCATTTATCCCCCTCATTGCAAGGGTAGGGATGAGTTGTAGTCAGAAAAGTCAACAAGGGATCTACGATATTGTAGGCATGACTGATACTTCTAATGATGTACTTACAAAACTTGCAGTGAGACTTATTTGAACTATTTGAACTATTAGAATGTGTTCAACCTATTGCGAAACCTATTGCGAATTCCATCCTATTTGTTAAGAATCCAAAAAGGGTGTTTTTAGGGTTTTACAATTTGGTCTTTCTATTGCAAAAGAAAATAGCTCGAATATCGAATAAAATATCTCCACCCATTCTCCATAAAACCTCCTTTTTGGGAGTGAATAAAGAAATATGAAACGGACTGTATTTTGGATTTTTTTCGTATCCATAATCTTTACAGAAATTAAACCAAAAGTAGATTGATTGGAGTAAAAGTTATAAGCAAGATTAGTTCCAAAGTTGACACCTTTTAGAAACACAAACACAAAACATTTGAAAGGCAATCCAGTGTTCCGTCTCTATTACAATAACTGAATATCTTTCAATGTTTTTTTTTGTTATCTTAAGACTATAGGGGATACAACCCATGCCGCTAAAGAGGCTACAGTACCCTACACAGTAAACTCGTTAAACTGAAGTAAAAACTATCTGCATTGAACAAGTAGTTGCATCCCTAAAGTAAGAAAAAAAAATTGCAAAAATGGCACAAAAATTTCCCACCACCCAAGCAAAAGCAATATGAAAAACAAACCGTTTTATCCGAAGCTGCCTTGAAAACGGCCGCTTTAAGGGCATCGGCTTGGAGTGCAGAATCTCGTTGGGAATGAAGAATTGAGGAATTTATGGGAATTGTTGATGAAGTCGTTCGATAATTGCCGAAGAACGGACGAGGCATCGAAGGGATCTGCTAAAAGAATCTGCTAAAGAAGCGCGAGATTTATTGATTACACAACTCATTGAGAGTTTCAATCCAAAAATACTGTCCTTTTAGTCGTTTTTTTCTAAAACCTGTCAACTTTATCGTAAACCTGACTTTAGTTTTATTTTTTGTTTTATCCAGTCTATGTATTTTACAGTATTCTTCCTAAAATAAATTGAGCAAAGATAGCTTTCGAAAGTTGACACGTTTTAGAAAGCATTAAACTCTAAACTTTTTATATACTATTGATAATCGAATGTGTAAGCAATAGCAGTAAGCAATAGCAGTAAGCAATAGCAGTAAGCTATAGCAGTAAGCTATAAGCAGTCAAAAGCTATAAGCAGCAAAAGCACAAAAAAAGTTAGCGAAATTCGATAATTCGTCGTTTTTCCTCACCTCCACATATTTCTGTGCGCTTTTCGTGATATTATTGTTGTTTCGAGCATCACGTGGAGATGTGCTACCCGGACTGAGCGATGAAGGGAGATTGTTGAGAACTCATCGACGATTCGGGGGATGAGGCTCGACCTGGAAATGGAGACAGTTCAACGATAATTGAAATTCAACGAGCTGATAATTGAATACCAAATGATCTAATAGCTGAATCAATGTTTCTATTGATTGAAAAATTTTCGACAAACCGTTATGTCTTGTGCTTCTCGTCGCATTTTGTTGTGTCTCATTTCGCCATGATGAGGACGATTGTTGGGAAGAGGAATTGCTCGGGAATGGACTTTTCCGAGGAGTTGAAACCATCGGACTCGTGTGAACATCTCGGACCTCAAGTGGGCGGAGCTAAACATCGATTTAAATTTAAAGCTCTGTGAAGTTTTGATGCGCAAACTATATTACAACAGTAGAAGCCAAGGCTTGACCGTACATTGATTATATCATTGGCTGTTCATTGGCTGTACATTGGCTGTACATTGACAGATTTATCGTTAACAACAAGAATAAAGTTATTTTTGTTTTGTTATTTAACTTGTTTGTTTAATTGATTTGTTTTGTTGATGTTGATGTTGAAATTGATTTTTTTTTTGACTTACAGGTGACACCGGGGATGGCTCGATCGATTGGAGAGGAGAACTCGGGAGGAAATCCGTTCGAACAGCGATCGGTCGTGACATCTGAATGAGGGAAATGAGTCTGGTTTATATTGTTCCCCCTTATCCAGCTGGAAACTGTTTAACCGGTTGAATTACCTAAATCCGATACATCAATCCTTACCTCACTCGCACTCCTCGCATGCATCAGATTTCTGGGTTGTCTCGCAGACGGTGAGAAGTTCACCGGAGTGTAGGTGACAGGCTAAATTGAAAGATAACAGACTGGAAATTTGTTAGCAACTTTAACCACCTGTGGCTTTTGCTGTTGTGGCTGGCTGTAAGTAAAAGTAGAAGAGGACGGATTTCCCGTGTAAGTGTAGCCATTAGCCGGGGTTCTGAAGTTTTTTTTTGAATACAAAATCAGGTCTAATCATCACTAACCCATTTTGCTCTCGCCAAGCGGGTCGACTTGTTGAGCGGGCTCGGGGTGAGGATTGACTGACTGAAAATGGGCTTTTATTTAGCTGACTCGTGGCTATCTAGTTCTAGCGCTAGCTTAACCTTAACTTACAATTGTAAGTGAAAGTGGCTATCTAGTTCTTGGGGAATTTCTGAACATCAACTCGGTTAGCTGCTCTAGATCGTGCTCTAGATGCCCTACCGTAGGCTCAACTTATATCTTTGTAAGTCTACTTAATTACTGTTGATACGACTATGCAGATTGATTACGATAGCAGCTATTATGAGATACGGTAACAAGAGCACGCATTAGAGCGGCTGCTTGAGTCAGTGTTAGAAAAAAGTTTGCAAGTCCTATCAAAACCTCACCTGGTTGACTCGGTTGTGCTTTCGGTTCCCCGTTATGAACTGTATAAACAATGTGATCCTTTTCAGCTCTTCCCCTCGGAAATCCTCCATTCAGTGGATTCTTTACCGTCGGCGATGTCACAGTCACCCATTGATCATGGGAAATCGCGCGTTGTGGAGTAACAGACTGGGGTCTCCTCTGATTTTCCAACGATTGAACTCTTTCACCAAAAACTGGAGTCACTGATTGCGGTCTACTGTTCAAAATCGTTGCCGATCTTGGATCAGGTTTAGGTGTGATCGATGTGACTCTTTCAGCAGCTTTTGTGTCTCCATTACTGACAGGTGGATTGTTCGATGGAATCGCTCTATAAGTCGTTATCTTCGGAGACTGTGAGCCCAAGGCCATCGCCGGAGTGACAAGCGTGGATCTAACTTGTGTGGATTTGTATGGAGACACTGATCGCTCGTATTCTTGTGGATAGATCGATTCATAGGGTTTTGTGGACGATTTTGATGGGGGTGGGGATCGAAGCTTTTGTTGTTGTTGTTGTTGTTGTTGTTGAGTATCTCTGAGCTCTGTTTTGTTATTGGGAAAATCGAAGAGATTTCGGGCGAATGGCGGGGTGGAGATGCTGGAGGAACGGGGTTGGGTGGCCGGGGAGTATGGTCTAAAAAGTCTTCGGTTAATACTTTATTTAAAATCTACAATTCCTCTTATATTTAAGACTCTCTTATATCCTCTTATATATTCTCGAATAATATCTATTCTCAAAGCTTTCTAACTATGCGCCAACTTGCTAACCTTGGAGTCAAATAAAAGCGGCGAAACTGAGCCTGTGTGTGAGCCTGATAGAGCTTTTGTTACTAGAGTACCTTCAAATTGTCTTATGCAAATAATAAATAAGATTCATTGGCGATCGAATGATATTTAATCGATAAATAATAGTAGTGCTAGTGTCGATTACTGTAAAGAAATGGTTATTGTAAAATCATCAGTATGGGTGAGTTAGTTTTGAGAAAAAGAGTGCTATATGCTAACTAGATAAGACAAATAAGCCATTAAAATGAAAACTATAAGATGGTCTTACTGTATTACGCTAAACTACGGTACACATCCGCGCGAAACAATGTTAAAATGCGTTTTCTGATAAAATTTCTTCTAATATATACCATTCAACGCAGAATTTTGTGCTGGTTCCAAAAATGACAACGATTTTGAAATCCGTTCGACAAAAGCATACCGCGGTACGCTTTTTGTATTTTATTTTATTTATTCAATTCTCCACCTCGACTTCTCTGCATCCAATGGCCTTGCGATTCGTTGCGTCAAAAAGCCTGTTGATGGACTCTAAAATTTGATCTTTTTTTATTATATAGTATATCTTAGATATTTTTACACATTTAATATGTTTCTATTCAAAGTTTAACCCTTTGAACAAACCTTTGCCCTTGGCAATGTCCCGCCCGATCCCTCATCCGTTGGTTGTTTTGCCAAATTTGTGTCACTCTCATGGAACGGTGAACGGAGTTGACCGGGTTTAAATCTTAATATGAATTACTTATAAAATATTATCTAAATCTCGAACCTTATTCTCGGTAAACTGTTCGTTTGCCCGACTTCACCATTCGCAAAGCGAGCGATTTTTCCGGAAGCCGTTCCGGCGGGAATTTCACGACGAAGAGCTTCCGAAGTGACCTGGGAAAATTTGCATATGAATATGGATATTATATTAAATTAATATAAGCTGAAGAGCTTTACTTTTAGAGCAGCTTCATCAAAGCTCGCATCTGGTCGACCAGCCGGTCGGGGATCCTGAAAATTTAGGACTAAGAAAGCTTTGACAAATTAAAAATCATTGGTACTACAGTATCCTAAACTACAGTGTACTACAGTGTACTCTACAGTACTACCCACAGCCTTTATCAGCATTTATACTCACCGCTCTCAAATAGCTATTCAACGAAAGTTTCCTTTGATGTTCAGGGATGAAACTCGGCGGAGACACATTTTGCTCGGGTGAGTCAAAGATCGATTTCCCTAGCGCGGCTTTACCCGTCGGAATCTCCTGAATTTGCATTTAATTATTAGACATTTTTAAAGCTCTATTATTACAGTATTCTTCTAACCTTTTGTAGCTTCTCTTCAGTCACATAGAGATCGCTCTCCTGGAAAACGAAATCCGCCTGTTTTCGCGGGTCATTCGCGTAAGTCGATGAATAGACGTCATCCTGGATTGCTTTTTGTTTTAAACATATCAATGCGATTAATTGTAAGTAAATAAGTTCTTAAAGTGAAGTGGAACTATTAGGCATTGCATTTATAGATTCCTTTCGAAGCAAATATGAAATGAAGCCCTGGTAAGGTTACCTTTTTGATTGGTGATCTCGGCTGGGGGTTACTTGGAGTGATCGGAGTAGTTGATGAAAGATTTTTGAAAGATGATGGTGGAAGGGGTGGAGGGGAAGGGATCGATGAAGAAGATGAGGGGAAATTCATTGGAGATGTTTGAAGATTGGAAGTGATTGGTGGAGGAGTGGGAGAATGATGGGAAGTGGCTGAGTGGAAGGATGAGGTCGAGGCGGGGGTCTGCAATGGAAGGGAAAGGTTTCGATTTCGAATGGGTAAAGGTGCTTGTAACAATGTACAATGTACTTTGTACTCAAAAATAGAAACACATCCTTTCTGGTACACTGGCAGGCTTTGTGAGTTCTTTTAATGTACCAGAAAGGGTTCGTTTCGATTCTCTGAGCACAAAGTAGACGGTAAATAAGGTTTCTTTTGTTTATTATATCAAATTATTTAGGTTATTGTTTTGTTTATTATATAAAGTTATTTAAGTTATTATTATTTTTATTATATAAAGTTATCAATGTTATTCAATTTATGTAAGCTGCTAAAACTGATAAAATTGCTCTACCAGAACTAAAAGCTCAACTCAAAGATGTTTATTGTTTTTGAGTGCAAAACAAAAGCTATAAGTATTATGGGATTATAGATTTACAGTAGATTACAGTGATTTAAAGTAGCTAAAGTTTGTTATTAGGTTGGAAAACAAATCTTTTCGTTTCTTTTCGTACTTCCGTTTAAAAATCAAAAATTCACCAATTATGGTTTCCTCTAAATAGAAAACTGTTGATTGTTCAATTTCTCATCTTTTTAAAGTCAATTTCGGTTCACTCCCAAGCAAATTCGAGGGTGGAAACGTGTTTTTCGTAAAAATCTATAAAAACCTTTACGAAGAAATTGGCTGAATCAATTTCTCTGAAAATTTGGCTATATACCTAACTTTTTATGCTCGACCTTTTATCTATTGACACCAAGATAAATTTCCCTAGCTAAAGTGTCTAAAACCACAGCATTAAGCCGTCGCCTTTTTGACTACCCGACTTCACGCCCCCAAAAAAAATCCAGACAGCCATTTGTTTAATGTTACGTGTTTTTCGTAAAAAAATCTATCAAAAAAACCTCTGGCTGCGCGAATTTCTCTGAAAATTTGGCTATATACAAAACTTTTTGTGCTCTATCTTTTATCTATCGAGACAAATTGACACTATTTTTTATCTATCTTTTATCTATTTCCTTAGCTAAATCTAGTTCCTTTATCTATTTCTTTAGCTAAAGTGTCTAAACCGTATCATCGAGCTGCCCTTTTTGACTACTCGACTTCATGCTTCCAAAAAATTAAAAAAATAACACTTTAAATCCGCTTTTATGTTATTTTGCAGAAAAATAATTGACTTTTTTAATGAAACAAACCATAGTTTAATTGATGCATTTTCTAGTTTAAAACAAAAGTACGAAAAGGCACGAAAAGACTTGTTTACCAAAGTGATATAAGTACGTTACGTGGATATAAAATTTTCTCAAAGTTCTCACTCACATGTAGACTTCTTCCATTGTAATCGCTCTCCTCTGATGCACTTCTTGGATATCCATTTATCTGTTTTTGGCTATTTCGTGGCTCTTCTTGATGAATCTAAAGAGAATCAAATATTCGAAAGAAAAGCTTTAAAAATAACAGATGAGCTCCTTGTCAAAAAGCTCCTTGTCGTGTATTTCCTAAAACCCATAAACTTTCACAAACTACCGTAATCTGTCTAGAAGAAAAACTAGACAAGATTACGATAGTTTTCGAAAGTTGACACATTTTATAAAACACACTGACAGGAACCGGCTGTTAAACGGTTAACACTTGTTTTTTCTAGTTGTAACCATGAAATGCCAAACCTCAGATTGTAAAACAGGTGCACTTTTATCTTTTGTCATCGTTTTTCTCAGCCTCACTCCTCCCCGAATACTTTCCAAAAGTTTCCCTCGATCAGCCGCCGAATTTTTGCGCTCTCGCAGCGTCGAAACGGTTGGACTCGATGATGAAGCTCTGGAATGGAAAAAAATGGCTAGAAAGTTAACGAATTTAAACACAAAGTTACACTTTAACCATTGAAAAATTAGAAAAAGCTAGAATGAAAATCTAGTTTTTGCTTACCTTGGCACTGGTGGAGCGGGCGGCGCGAGAGAGGAGTTCAATGGAGGAGCTGGTGGAGGGCATGAGCCTCGATCCTGCTATTTTATTTGTTTTTGATACAAATTTCTATTAGAATATCAAATTCTAATCAAGAACTGAGATTTTCAAATTTTCATCGATCAATTCTTACAACTTACAATCCGATTTTTCTTCTCGCCATCCACGAAAATGATAGGCGCCGATTTGTCGACGGTTTTCGTCGGTTTCAGTCGGATACCCGTTTTGATCTCCTGAAAATTGAAAAATTAAATGTGATTTATTCAAAAAAAAAATAATAACTCTATATTCAAAGCCTATTTTTCAAGCTTTCGTTTCAAATTCTTATCAAACTGACATCAAGAATGGGATGGCCGACCCAGGCCATTCCGATTGAGCAATTGATGCACACAAAATAAAAAAATGAAAAATGGGGAGAATCCTGTCGAAAATCTGTCGAAAATCTGAAATTTAAAACTTAAACTCAAGACAAATGAAAAACTGAATAAGAGAAAATGAATGACAAATGAAAAACTGAATAAGAGAAAGTAAACAAGTCAAAAACTGAACTGCTGCTGCTGACTGATCCAGCAGATTCATCACAAATCCTACTTTCAACAACAACAACAACAAACAACATACAAAATCAAGTTTTAGACAAAATCTTTAACTCTTTAGGTAAAAGCTTAAGATCTTTAGGTAATCTTTAGGATTTATAGAAAGCTTATTATTGGATCAACAAATAAATTGGATCTTTGGCAGAACTTTGTCACAGAACTCGAGTAGAGTTTTTGGATATACTAGGTTGGTGCAAATGAAATTTCGTTTTTTTACAAACATTAAAGTCATCCAAAATTTTTTTAGATAACAATTTATTTAAAACAATAAGCACCATTATTATCTATGACATCCCTCCAACGTTGCTTCAGATTGCGGATCCCCTTCTCAAAGAACGCTTGATTCTGTGATGCAAACTAGTTGGTCACCCAATTTTCGACTTCTTTTGCATTCTTAAACTGGCAATTCTCAAGGGAATGTTGCATCGATCTGAAAAGGTGAAAATCGGAGGGTGCTAAGTCTGGACTATACGGCGCATGTGGTACGACCTTCCATCCTAGCTTCTCTAGTTCCTTACAAGAGGTTTTTGCCGTGTGAGCTGGAGCATTATCACGGAGAAAGTTGATAGTTGAGGGATTTAGGCCTTTTTCACGCAAAATTTCGTCAACCTTCTTGAGTTGTTGAATAAAATAAGATGAATCGACTGTTTTTCCGGGCTCTAATAATTCAAAATGAACAAGTCCATTGATATTCCACCAGCAAGACAACATCGCTTTGCGCCCATGATAATCCGGCTTTGGAGTTGGAATTGGCGCTTGACCTTTGCTCAGCCATTGTCTTTTTCGAGAAGTATTATCAAAGTGAATTCACTTCTCATCCATCGTCAAGATATTCTCAAAAAAATGGCTCCTTTTCGACTTATGGAGCAAGAGATGGCTGATCGGAACGCGTGCTCCCAGATTCTCAACACTCAATTGATGTGGAACCCATTGTCCATTACGATTTGTCTTTCCAATTATTTCCAAATGGCGTACAATTGTTGAATTGGAGATGTTTGGCAAGTTCTCGTGTTGTTTGCATTGGATCAGCTTCAATTCATTGTTGTCGATGGCTGTGGCACGATGTCCATGCGATTCGTCTTCAAGGGATTCATTACCATCTCGGAATTGGGCAAACCAGAGCTGGCATGATCTTTCGGTGATAACCTGTTCTCCAAAGGCGGAACAGAGATCACGATGTGAATCAGCAGCGTTTTTGCCCATTTTGAAGTCATAGAGAAGACACGTGCGCAGAACATACTTTTGATCCACCATGATCTAAAGCAAAAATCAATTAAAAAGTGAAAGCTCTGACTTTGAAAAAATGCGAAAATAAAGTAAATATCCAAGAGTACAAATGCACAAAAGAACATCAAAAAAGCTCTTCAGATTAAAAAAATAAGAACATTTTATATCGACCGAAATTTCTTTTGCACCAACCTAATAAATCAAAAAAGAGGACTTGGCAACGAAAATGATGGGAACCGGAAAAAGAATGGAGGTAAAAAAGAGTTGAGCATCAAAAATGAAAAGAAAAGTTCGAGGTGAGGCTTGAGGAAAAAAGGGGAGAATCGGGTAACAGTTGGTGGGGGAGAGTTTGGGGAGATCCATGGAATGGGGGTGGCTGACGTAGTCCCTCGGGTCTCAGGGCAAACCGAGACAACAACCACACGGAAATATTTCCTAAGTGCTTAAGCAAAAGTTGAGACAAACAAGTTATCGAGTTTGGGATGAGTTTGGGATGAATTTCTCGCTTTCAATTGGAAAAGGAGGACCTATCGGCGGACTGTGCCAGATGGGGAGCGATTACGCGGTTGCACAAAGAACACCTCGTCACTGACTTATTGCTGGTAAATAAAAGGATGAAGATTCAAAAGCAGAAAGCAATACTGGCAATACAGATCTCTGTAAAGACAATAGATTTTTGAAATTCAAAAGAACTAATTAGATTTCAATAATAAAACCAACTCAAAGCTTTTCCAAGGGCAATCACAAAGAAAAGTGAAATCTTGAGAAGAAAAAGAAAATCGAGAATATTCTTTGAAAACACAAAAAACCTCACTACAATACAAAGAAGAGGAAGAGACACAAATATTGTCCCTCCCAACTCCATTCTTATTCAACTCGATCTACGGGAGTCCTTATATGTTCATACCATTCCCCCATTCCCCATTCCCCATTCCCCATTCCCCCTTCTCCTCAAAACTAGTTCTCCTCACCTTCTCTTTTTCTCAATTTATTCGATTTCCCGAGGTGAAGCCATTTTCGATGAAAGATGGGCAATTCCAATGGAATGCCTTTGGAAAAGTTTCTGGAGTAACATGCCAAAAAGTAGTTTCAGATAGATTACCGTTTAAGTCACGTTTTCGAAAACGCAAAGCAACATATACATAATATGGAAAAGATACGAACGTGGGGACGAAAGTGTGAATGTTTGTGGAGTAACGGAATCGAGCTCTTCACTCATCCAGATACAAACAAACACTTCCAAACAGACATCGCCAAAAGATGATAAAGAGCGAATTCCCTTTTTTCTTTTGCTCAATACAATTCAACGAGACATTCAAAGGGTTCTTTCCTTTCTCCATATTTTCCCCTTTTTCTTTCTTTTCTCTGAAAAGTTTGCCCACACTGATCTTCTCTACAAATAACGTTTTCTCTTTTTTACCTTTTTCGTGATTTTTCCCGACATTTTCATTTTAACGTGATGATCAGCTGGCACTGAACAACGGGAAATTCTGAAGATTCGACATTCTTGTCTAAAAATGAACAGTACCAGAGCTTTTTAACTCTAGAATAAATTCTTCCTTTGAATTCTCAATTCGTAACCGATTCTAAAACTAACCAAGCCATTTAGATAGGTCAGAAGGATTAGCCTTGGTTCTAAAAACTATTCGGAAAACTACCAGAAATCAACCAGAAGAAGCCAGGCTTGACCCAGATCTGCTAGTTCTAATTGTAAGCTGATCTAGTCTGGACTTGTCTTTTATCTTTTAGATTAAAACCACTTTTAGAATTTGACGGACTCATCTGTGTTTAATAGTAAAATTGAATAAGATTCATTATGTAAGTGATGAGCTTTATCAACTCGTACAGTTAGGAGTGAAGGGTTTAGAAGTTAACTTCTGTTTAGAAGCTCACTTCTGTTTAGAAGCTCACTTCTGTTTAGAAGCTCACTTCTGTTTAGAAGCTCACTTCTGTTTAGAAGCTCACTTCTGTTTAGAAGCTCACTTCTGTTTAGAAGCTCACTTCTGTTTAGAAGCTCACTTCTGTTTAGAAGCTCACTTCTGTTTAGAAGCTCACTTCTGTTTAGAAGCTCACTTCTGTTTAGAAGCTCACTTCTGTTTAGAAGTGAAGGATCGTAAATTGTCTCCTCCATTGCTCAAGAAAGTTACACTAGTGAACGTATTCAGCTATCAAAAAACAAAACAAGTTTTTTTTAAATCTTTAAATCTACAGAACAAATCCTAAGTTCAATTTTAGCCAAATTCCCGAATGATAGGAGAATAGAGAAAAGTCAAAGATCCATAAAGAACAGCTGTGATTGGTGAGAGATTGGAAAAAGTATTTAAATAAAAGAATTGTCGAAAAAAAATAGAATATCAATTGAATAACAGTTTTTCTGTTTGTCCTTTCTCTTCAAAAATTCCCTTCCATTCATCAAAAAGAGAACTAAAACTAAAAAACGTTAGAGGACAACGGTCGATCTTTTTCTCATTCATTCTCCATTCTTTTCATTTCTCGTTTGGCACTCTTGATGGGGTCACCGCCTTTTCCTCCATTTATTCTTCGATCCAAGAAAAGAAGAAGATGAAGGACAATAACCTCTAGAAAATGAAAAAAAAAGGAAAACTTTTGATTAAGATATTAAGATATTATATTAATTATTAATTAATATTAAGATAATATTAAGATGTTCAGCTCTATAGATAGGAAAAATAGTTATGAAAAACTTGGTTTTTATTTTAAGCGCAAAAATCGTTTAAATTTGTGTGGTTGTCGGATTTTTCTTTTCGGATAATATCCAAAAACTAACATATAGCATAACAGATAACAAAACAAAACAAAAAAAAACAAAAACAAAAACTGTCACAAGAAAAGCTTGATCGTTAGCTTTTTGGCAAATGAGAAAGTTTTAGAATTAGATTTGATTAGATTTGATTTGATTTGATTTGATTTGATTTGAAAATCTAAGTTCACAGATTCCGATTTCTTATCCGATCTATGTATCCTTTTCATTCAAACAAAAAAACATTCAAGGCCATTTAGAATCCTCTAATTTTGGTTCAAATCTCAACAAAAAAAAAGCAGAAACAGGTGGCCAAACGTAAAAGAATCTATAGTCAATAAAGGAAAAAAGTAAAAAAATCGGAAAAAAAAGCATTTAAATGTAATGATTCTTTTAAAAGAAAACTCGAGTTAAGTTAACAAAGAATATTTTGTGGAAATGAAAAGTTTTTTTTGGGGTAAATTTGCGAAAAGTCTTTTGTGGTTGGGGAAAAATGGGAGGGAAATAGAAGGGAATGGGGAGGGTACAAGATAGGCAAATAATGAAAGGCATTGGGAAGACCCACGTCGCGCGCTTCGTCAATCAGCTTTCAAAAGAACTTTCAAAAAAAAAAAGGTGAACTCGTGGTTTGGATCTGATAAACTATTTGAAAGAAATTCAGATTTCATTGAATCCACTAAACCATGATATTCAATCGAGTTTTATAATGGAATACAGGAAACAGCCAGTGAAAGATAGCCAGTAAAATATAGCCAGTAAAAGATAGTAAAAGATTTACTCAGT